CAATTTTAAACAATCTCCTATATTAGTTTACCATGTCAATTTTACACAATCCCCTATATAAGTTTACCTTGTCAATTTTACACAATCCCCTATATAAGTTTACCTTGTCAATTTTAACCAATCCCCTATATTAGTTTACCTTGTCAATTTTAACCAATCCCCTATATTAGTTTACCATGTCAGTTCTAATCAACCCTTCTTGTTGATCTCTTGTATTAGACAGTCAATCATCCGTGATACAAAGTGTATCATTTGTATAATAAAGTTACATTATCATCAAATCATGTAAAATTTGACCTGTACATTGAATTAAAATGTCAGCGAAGTGTCCTTGATATCACGTAAAATTTGACCCCTCCACTGAATTACAAAGTCAGTTTAATGCCCATGCTATCATGTAAAATTTGACCCCTCCATTGAATTACAAAGTCAGTTTAATGCCCATGATATCATGTAAAATTTGACCCCTCCATTGAATTACAAAGTCAGTTTAATGCCCATGATATCATGTAAAATTTGACCCCTCCACTGAATTACAAAGTCAGTTTAATGCCCATGCTATCATGTAAAATTTGACCCCTCCATTGAATTACAAAGTCAGTTTAATGCCCATGATATCATGTAAAATTTGACCCCTCCATTGAATTACAAAGTCAGTTTAATGCCCATGATATCATGTAAAATTTGACCACTCCAATGAATAAAAAAAGTCCACTAAATGTCTATGGTATCATGATACTTAGGTCATCCAGGATTCCATGTCAATTCAACAAAATTTGATTATAATGGACGTCAGATTGGTAACGACATTTGTGATACCCAGGTATATCACTGACCACATCCCTAACACTCTACATTTGTGATACCCAGGTACATCACTGACCTCAACCCTGACACACTCTACATTTGTGATACCCAGGTACATCACTGACCTCATCCCTAACGTACTCTACATTTGTGATACCTAGGTACATCAGTGACCACATCCCTAACACACTCTACATTTGTGATACCTAGGTACATCAGTGACCACATCCCTAACACACTCTACATTTGTGATACCTAGGTACATCACTGACCACATCCCTAACACACTCTACATTTGTGATACCTAGGTACATCCCTGACCACATCCCTAACACACTCTACATTTGTGATACCTAGGTACATCACTGACCACATCCCTAACACACTCTACATTTGTGATACCCAGGTACATCACTGACCACATCCCTAACACACTCTACATTTGTGATACCCAGGTACATCACTGACCACATCCCTAACACACTCTACATTTGTGATACCCAGGTACATCACTGACCACATCCCTAACACACTCTACATTTGTGATACCCAGGTACATCAAGTCACTACCATTGGATGGTGATACTAAATAATGAGTCAATGGATCGATACGCCTTATTTAGCCATGTGTTACGCAGGGGTGACTTTCTATTCTGTGTATGTATTGACCGATTTCGACTGAAGACGTTTCGACAAAAATTAATTTCGGGACAACAAATGACTTTTCCCTTGCTTTACATTTGAAGGGACTGAAAAATCGCTTCAACTCAACCGAAATTTCGACCCAGTGATATTCAAGTCATCCGAACTAAAATTACAAAGATATAGAAAGAAAAAAATCGGGACTTACAAATTATTTCAACTCAAACAGAATTTCGAGATGAGTTTCAACTATATATTAAGATATATAAATAAATAAGACAGAAAATGTGAGTACATGTCTTCCAAAATATCAATTCTGTACTATATGTAATATTTGTCCTTCTTTATTCTACATTGTCTTCAAAATGGGAAAAAAAAAATCTTTCCCAAGCGGGGAATCGAACCCCGGCCGCCGCGGTGAGAGCGCGGAATCCTAACCACTAGACCACTTGGGACATACTTGTTAGGCGAGATTTGTTTATTAAAAACACACTCACTGAAGACTTTTGTTTCTTTTTTTTAAAACGTAACATTCGTTCAGTGTTGAATATTACGACTACTAGTATCAAAGACGTTGCGCATCGTTTGAATTTGTTACTATTTTTTATTGTTTATGTAACAACAACTGACATTGATATGTCCATTTTAAAAAGTATTTTACGCCGAGTGAAGGGGAATAACTCCCACCGTATTGGTCAGTAATTGTTTGGAAGGGACTACAGGGCATCATTTCAGCAGAGTCCGTACCGGTTTCTGAATTCGGTCTCTCATTTACGGATTTATTGGTTTAATTTAAACGTGTAAACAAAACACAACATATAGATACAATAGTTAACGTAAGAAAATAACTCAAATGTTGTTTTGGAGAATGATCTTAGATCTATTGAATAAAATTATTTGAGGACCAATATCGTATCTAGGAAAGCATAATTCGTTTGACCTGAATTGCTTCTCATTTATGACAAGTTATAGGTGGGTGAACAGTAATGAAAGTATACTATGAAAAGGTAAGTTTTTAAGTTTAAAAAGTCGAATTCTTCGGCTTTAGAACATGGGAACATGACATCAGGATTGAAATGTCCCCGTAGGGTCGACTGAAATCACGACAGACTGTGACATGACTCAAATAGATACTATTAATTTATTAAGAAAGAAAGAAAGAACAATGACATCAACGCCAGGGATCATTTTCCAGAGTAGTGTAGTCTAAAAATCAATTCACCTCGCTACACACTTAGACGACCGTCACCAGTACATGCAGTGTATTCCTCACTCAGTCATAATGATGTTACTATGGTATATTTCAGTAGTAATACGTACTCTCTAAGTCAGAGCAGACCCAGTTCACAAGAGAAAAAATATCCGTACTGCGTGCTTTTTGTGAACTGTCTACAAACGTAAATAACAAGTATCAAAACAGCTATCATAGTTTAGTAATATAATAGCGTTCATGCTATATTGAACCGCCGATTCCTGGGGCTGAAGCAATGTTAGCACACGAGAAAAATACTAAAAAATACGGATGCTATGGTCTCTCCTTACACGTCAATTAACAGTGTATAAATTGTACAATAATTAGGATATCATGGGGACCATGCATAAGCTATATGCCAAGTTCGATAACTCGAACAGGTTTATCTAATCGTTAAGTGCTAATTGTAAGAATAAAATGAAAATTAGATCACAGGATACTTGTAATGGAAGGCCGGCGCCAGAGGACAATATATGATACTACTGAGAAATACATTACATACAATAATTTTGATGCACAAATTATTTCAGCAGTTGACACTGTAAACTACACAAATTATTTCAGCAGTTGACATCGTAAACTTCACAAATGAATTCAGCAAAATAAAAGATAAAAAAACATTTCGGGTTTAAAGAAAATCTTATGTTATACTTATGATGTCCTTTCAACAATCGTAAAGTTCTGTTGCTCCAACGAGTGATTTCAAGTTGTACAACAACTCCAATACTTTTCATGTAATTTTCTGCATCGTATCGTTTTATGAATAATTTGCTACATCCACTATCTTAAATTTTAAAGCTGTTTTTCCTCGTTCTGTTTTTGTTTGCAAAACTTCTTTCGTATCAGTTCGTTTGACATTAATATGATGCTCAGTGGAGCATAATTCTGAATTCTGTAGATTTCCCCTCGTGGAGTATAATTGATGACGGCGTATATGACGTTTCTCTTGAAAATAACTGTGGAAAAAAATAGCACGAATTATCACCACAATTCATAGTTAAGAAATACGTAAATGGATGCTTGGTGGATCTTTTAAGCATAATGTGAAAAAAAAGTTAGATTTCAGGACATTGTCGAACAGACAGTTGGGAGTAAGCATTTTTCAAAATTTACATTTTTCTGCTGTTATGGAAACTTGCAGCTGTCACACCAAATTGAAAATCAGCAATTTAAGTTATGTTTTGTTTATTGTCCCAGTACCATTCTATTGCGTTTCAAATTAAAAAAATGAGAAAAATAAGTTTAAATGCATGCTCCCATGACACATTCTGACGCAAATGGCGGTGATTGAGAGCAGCCATATAATTTTTTTTTTAATTTATGTTTTGTATATATTGGACATTTTACTGTCGACCACTTGTTAGAAGAGTCTTGTACTCAAAGTGTTATCGACTCTTAAATAAAGTCATTTATTATTATTATTAATATAATTACTTTCTCTCATCTAACAAGGGACGTATAAAACCGAGGAACAAAACTTGCCTATATTTTTTGTTAACTTTAGAGCAATGATTTTCGAGTTATTCATACCTACCGTGGCCTTGCTTTGTTTACAAACCAAATTAAACAGCTTTTGTGTATAAGTACATGACTTGATAATTATAAAATTGATTGTGCTTGCTTTCATGATTAACGATCTTTGAGAACTTTTGATATTTATAAAACGAAAATGCATGTTTTAGCTACTTACAACTGAAATACCATTCTATATTTTTTACCACTTTCAGCCCGAGATATTAGTAAAATCATCTTTAACAGATGGTATTAAAACATGAGATTTATTCCGTTTAAGTCAACTTAAAGAAAGACTGGTTTGTCGTACCACGGACTTGTATATTAGATATATTTAAGTCCGTGGTCAAAGCATCATCGGAACAAAAGTTAAAATTAAAAAAAATTGGGGGTCTGAGATTCATACATCCATCAGATATGTAATCAAATGTCACTAAACAACTGCGTGGCTGCGATCAATACACGTATTGTTGTCGTAGCATCTGTAGTTAGCATTCACTTTGATCTTGTCTCACCTGTCCGCACAAAGGTGAGAAATGCCCATTACTTCCTGTCAATCATGCGCATACACACATTTCCGCTCACCCGCTCGATATGAAAACATTGCGTCTGTCACTTCGCTAGCAGTTGTTTACAGACAGGTAAGTGTGTCATTAGCATAGTTTTGTTAAATTCAATTCTTACATCGAGTTGGAAATATAGTTGTACACTTACAATAACCATTTCAATCGAGTTATCTTATTTTACAGACAAATGATTCGCTTGAATTAGGTCAAACGCAGACGAAATGGCAACGGGGTTGAGCACCCCTTTAGCTTCTGCTTCATCAACTGTTCCTACAATTGGAGGAGTACCTGCGTCAACTATTTCAGGGAAAGGGATACCTGGTAAAAAATCGTCTGCCTCTGAACTTCTGGATCAAATACGGCAGTTGGAAATTGAAGGAAATAAACTAAGATCTGCAAATCTAGGTAAGGCCGTAACGAAGGGAGTTCGTGATTGGACATGCCCTATTGTCGGTGCGCCAAGTTTAAAACCCTGATTATTAGCTAGGTAAATCACGAAGGTATTGTTCGTATGTGTTGTCCTATGACACTTGCTATATCTTTGGTGGGTAATAAGATCGTTTGAAGAGCTGTTGCGATTTTTAAAACGGATTTAAGCGTATATATATCCTTCAAATATTTATATTTGCTTCCATATCGAAATTGGTCTGAAGTGTGTGACCTCTTGAATGGGTCCATCCATGTGTTATGATTATAGCTCTGGTTTTGGTGACTGGACAAATACTTAATGTGAATATCTAATTGACTTTTATTTACAAGGTCACTCTCCAATTACTTTCTTTTGTCCAAAATGCTAATTATTTTTAATTAAAATTCAAATCCCTTTTGAATATAAAAGGGCACTGACATTAGCACATGTACAAGTACAAAGTAAATGGCACTTAGTGAGACTTATGTATAGTACTAAGAAAGCTAAACACTGTTCATAAGTTCTTGTCAACAGAATTTAATGATGCTAACATCCCCATATACTCTCATCAATATTTTGATATGTAATATGAGACATTTATCAACAAAAAATGTGAATAGGAGTGGTACTCCTAGGTTGAATTAATGGCCATCATGAGTACATGTATTGCCAGTCACATTGATGCCTTTCTTTGCTTCCTCATAATTTATTGCTTGTTCATTACAATCAGAACCTGATGTTTTAATGTTTCTTTGATTTATTTGATCAATGAGCCACATAAACTTTCGAAATGTGAAATTCAGGATAGTACCAAAAGACATCAAAAAAAAAAGTATCCTAGCCCAGAAATTCCAAAGACAAAACCCATGGAAATTAATCACACCACTCTAGAGCAAGTTTTGTATCTTACGTCAGACTCTAAAGACGTAGACAATTATACAGGCAAAAAATACATGACCTATAACTACATTACAGAGGATTATAAGTCAGTCTTCAATCACAGCTTCATCAGTATAGGCACAGATGTCCAAGATGAACTTCCAGAAACCATACACTATAGACCAGTTAATGTACATAGCATATGCAGATTATTTTAGCATTTACGTAATGAACTAGTTAATAATTACATCACAGCTTCTCATTAATTATGTTGTCATAATATCGCTTACCTTTATAGAATTTCTATGACACATTTCTGTACTTCAGACATCAGCTGGTATTACATTGTCTTGATGATGGTTGTATAGCAGCCAAAACATACTGACAATGTAAATTACAAAAAACCTCCATAGAATGTTGGGATTCCATGAGCTTATCTTTATATTTGATGAGTAATTATTTTTATTTTCTACTTTATTTACATTAATAACATACATTATGATATCAATCATGATACCACTGAAAACAGCTGCCAGAAAAATAATGATATTAATTAATTATTTTGAGAGAGTAGTAATACAGTTCCTGTAATATACATGTGTCTATACAATTGGATACTCTTGAGGAATGAAGAAAGATGTCTTCACAAATAACATACATAAAACTGGCAACTAATTAGAAAATTACATTGTTAATTCAGATATTGACTGCAATATTATTTTCGTAATGAAAATATATATAACTATTCATTAAAAAAAAGGACTTGCATGGTTGTACTAGTTAGGAAAATACAAAAGACAAATTCCTCATCCTCAATGGCTGAATATCAATTACAGCTACATGTATATAGCTATTAGTATTATAGATATATTTTCACTTTTGTCTTTGAAGTCTGACGGTTGTTGGAACACTAGTAAGGTCAAATCACTGTCAACCATACCAGAGTACTTCTAACCAAAGGACTATATATATATATATCTATATTCTGTTATCAGTATAATAATACAAATTCATTTTTGGTTATTAAACATTTTATTATTGCAATTGTAGATTTTGTATTTGGTTTGTAACATGTTATTTTAACAAATATTGCTAAAGTGTCTTAGAAATAAGACAAACAGAATCTGTCACTATGGTATTGTCCATTTTACATAAATCTTTATGAAACTTATCAGTTACATATTTTGTATGAGGTTTATTACACATCACAATTTTTCCCTTTCTTTTCTGGATCACCAGAGGCTTGGCAGAATGAAAAAAATATGACTAATTTCTCATACTCAACTTTAATCCCCAAGTGTTCAAGAAACATTTTATATCAATTGCCCAATAGTAATGATATAAGTGGATTTTTTCAGCTCCCAACAATTGAAAAATATATTTATTAAATTGTATTTAAGTAAAAGTAAAAATTTTGTATTTGTACTGTAACCTGAGATAATCCAGATAATGATCAGGTTTCAGTTTTCTGTTGGCAAAAATCTTCAACAGAAGAGACTGAAGTTCACTGTAGGTTATGTACCACTTACCATTATTGGTAATCAATACATTGGTTGCTCCAATCGGGAACTCAGGTTTAAATGGTAGGTGAATAAATTGAGATGATCTTGATAGCATTATGGGTTTGTACTATTATGTTTTGGTGACCCTCATTGAACATGTAGCAGTGCTGTAACAAGGGCTTAGATTTATCGATTTTGTTTCTCTATAGGTACGTAATGTATAAGTGCTATCAGATTATTTCATGGTATTTTTTTTTACATCTTATTGAGTTAAATGATTTCACTACATATCAAATGAACATAAATCATTTATAATCATAATGACTAATGAACATGTGATTTAGAGAAAGTATATGTGTAATATGCAAATGGTAAGTATTTTGGCATATTTCACATAAATTTGAAATATTCAGCAAATTATTATCTTCAGTGATCTTCTTATGATAACTTTCTGTAGTATTAAGCTTTCTCTGAGAGACAGACTACAGAGGTCTGTAGACCAGAAAACCCCAGGAAAGTACATAAGTGGATAACTAAAGAAAATTGTGTTCAAGTAAGGATAGGCAGTGCCTTACACACTGTACATGTGTGCAGTTATATATATCAAAGCATCCAATGAAATACAAGGACAACTCTATATTTTTGTTCAGCCCTGAATGAAACGTAATTTACTTACAATTGTAGGTACATTAACACCGTTAATATAAAATATTACCAGCCAGCCACATTTATGTATGTAGCTGATCCGTCTGTGTTGCTATGATATTTCCCTGTACCACTTCTGTGTTCTGGTACAACATTTCCCTGTACCACTTCTGTGTTCTGGTACAACATTTCCCTGTACCACTTCTGTGTTCTGGTACAACATTTCCCTGTACCACTTCTGTGTTCTGGTACAACAATTCCCTGTACCACTTCTGTGTTCTGGTACAACAGATACAACATGTTAATACATGGTACATTACTGAAGTATTGCTTTTTGAAACTCTGTTTCTAATTAATAAAAGTGTATTTCATTAACGTACATCTTAATAAATATGACTTTCAATTGGTCAACATTAAAAACAATTTAAAAAACCTTTGTAAGTCTGATTTTTTTTTTCCAGAGTTATTTCTTTCTTTTTTTAATGTCAAAAAAGTTGGTCTTCCATTTGCAAGGTTTTTTTTTCGTAATTTGGAAATGCATGAAATATGGTGTTTTTGAAGGTCTGTTCTGTCCCTCCTTTAAGGAAAAATAATAGAGGCTGTGATAGTTGACAGTCACTGCTGGGTGATGTATAAAACTTGATGTGCCCGGTGCTGGTATAAACCAAAGATAAAAGTTTGTCGTAAGTCAGCTCATTGTTTATTTCATCATGGGGTTTGTAAGAATATCATTTCTTGCAAAGTGATGTGTACATATGAGTGAAATTAGAGGTTGGAACAATAGTAATTCATTCATTCATAAAAATAGCTGATCAAAGTGCATTTTAGTGGAGACAAGAAAGACAAAACAGGCAAAAGCAAAGCTAGACTGGTAAAACATCTATTTTAAACTGGTTGTAACTTTTCCTCAATCTACATCTTATGCAGGTACTTGGTTTTCATGCAAATTTAAAATCTTTTTTAGGGTACTTGTAGAGAGGAATGATTCAGGAATTTTCAAAGTATCCTAAACTCAGATTAAAGGTAGATTTTGAAATGCTTTGATTTTAACGCGTAAGAAGAATGTAATAGTTTTCAATGTTCTATGTATTGCACATGGTTCCTATGTACAGTTAAAATTTAGGTCTAGTGTTTACCGGTAATCTGTCGTGAATATCGGTGTACCTTATGTGTGACAGGTATGGCCATCACTGAGGGAACATGATTAGGGAGAATTCTTGTCCAAATCTCTTGATCCCCCTTTTCATTATGTAGGGATTAGAGTATTATTGTGTTATCTTTTCAAAGTGGTCAAAAGTGGACACAGTCCATGAATGGTAATACAAAGTAAATTGCTTTAGGACACACATGGATCATCTGAGTTTTGATTTTACTGATATCATAATCAGTACATTTAGGGGTACAATTATCATATTAGATACATGTATATTGTATGTATATGAGTCATTCAGATGTTAAGTTGTACAGTACTTACTATTATTTACTTTTAGTTTGTGTTGTTTTAACATGATTTAGTTTTATATGGTATGGCCGGTATATAAATCAAATGACATGATTTGGATAATCAGCATTTTTAAAAATCAAAATCATTCATATGATATCTGGTACCTTAACATTTATTAATCAAAATTGTTTAAAATTTCATGCAGCCGATAGTGTATCATGTCTACCTGCTTGCTTTCTCATTACCATCCACCCCTATTGCTCCTTGAAATCCTGAATCTTGTAATTGTGATCAACATACTTGTGTGGACTGTATTACGTTTTCAATTTATATCTTATGTATACATGAGTAATAATGCAGTAAAGGCTTTTGCTGAAGATTTACCTTTATCAAGAATGTACACTGTCTTGTGTTTATTTTTGTTAACCACTATTGTCAGATTTTTTGGCTGTTCAAATTGCACTTTGTCCATAGTCTTGCTGTTTTTTGAGGTTTTTGATGAAAGTCTGAATTTCATATGTAGGTTATTATGGGTCCCGTATATAAGCACTCCTCATCTTTGGACTGGTTGGAAAATACCATTAGGCAGCCATCTTGGATTTTAACACAAAATATAATGGTTGCCATCTTGGAATTTGACAGTTATATTTTGTTATTGCTATTGCTTTACGTACTAAAAGGATATGTAGTTTCTCCTTATGTCTTATTGCAGTGTTCAGAGTAAGCAATAGAATAAAACAGAAAAAAAGGAAATGATCAAACTAATCAAAGTGTGATTGCAGGTTCCTCTGGGATACTTTAAGTACTCATTTATATGTATGTGTTCAGATCTACCCGGAAAAAATATTTTGTACCATATTTTGAGGTAAATTTATTATGAAATGTGATTCCACTTATACAACCCATTGCTATAGTACGATCTTGTATCAACTTGTATGGTCAATATCACTTTCCCAGTGCTTTTTTCAAGTTCTTTTTTCTTTTTTTATATATATATCTTTCTGCATGTTGACACTAGTATCATTCCTGTATGTATGGTAAATTGCCACAAGGTGACCCAAATTGGACCACTTTAGAATTCGGTAGATACTATGTTCATCTCAAGGGTTACGTACACAACCTAAACAAATAGTGACCAAGTATTGGGCACACAGACACCATGTTACTACATTGTCCTTAGATGTTTTAAAGCTTCTGCATGAATAGGATTAGGTTGGCTCAGTCTGTCATCCCAATCAAAGTATCGAGGCACCAGGAAAGAGGACAGATTATCAGTATGACACACTCAAAACAATGGTATTTCAGCTGGTACTATATCGTGCATGGATTATCACTACCACCAAATAATTCAAATTGCTTTCCCTTATTGTAACAAGTTAGGATCAGATTTCATACTGGTGTTTCTTTTCAAAATTAAATAATTTGAAAGCCTACAAATTGCTGTATATGAAAACACAAGCTGACTTTCATGACATTCATCTTTCCATTGAATGAAGATTTCAGTTGGAAAATTTAAATACTTCTACATTTTATTTTGAAGGTAGTTTTTAAGAAAGATTTTATCTAGGTACACAATGTACATTGATAAAGAGAATCTGTCTAGATTTAAGTTATAGTTCATACAGGCAGAAAATAGATAATGATTTATCAGTAGTTTTTCTGTTTCATTATCTATTTTTAAACAAAAACAAACTGATACCTGCAAATATTTCAAAATTGTATGGTGTACATGTTAATGAATACATGCAGACCTGTTTTTTCTTACATGATAGTACACAGGTACAGGCAAGCAGTGCAGACGTGTTTGCACCTTGGAAACTCAAAATAATTTGTTTCACAGTGATTTTTTTAAGACTTGTCTGTTGAGTAAACACTTCATTGTTTCCTAGCAATGCATAAAGCTCCAGATTGAGTTACAATGGTGTCAGGGTCAAAAAGTAATTCACATATAAAACTTCCAAATGAGAAAGTTGTATATACAATAATCAGTGGGTGTTTATCAAGGTCCAAGGATAGAATGTTTTCTTTACAGTAATGAAAAATTTGCCTCCGTTTGTCAATGGTATTGTGATTTTGGTTTATTTTTAATTGAATTCCAAATACAATATAATTACAGCTTTAGCCATCTAGCTACAACTGTTTTTGCATAAAGCCTGTTTCTTATATGGTGTCCATCTATACATTTCCTGATATGCCAATGCTAAATTATAACCTGATCATGATTGTACTGTTACAAAACCAAAGTATTCTTCCTTTGAACCAACACCTGTACCACAGCCATGCCCTGCTTTATTGATTAAATAATTCTCTACCGAATATGTAGTGTTGTGTTAGCACCTTATGGTATCTAGCTATATTCATGTATAAAATATCTTTAAAGGGATGTGAATAATGGCACGTTATCAGCCCATTTTCGTCTTAACATGTTGAATATTTTAGATTGTCAATAAAAGTATCTGTTTCTCATGCAAAATAAGGGACCATAAATTATTAAGTGAACAGATCCTTTTAGATACTAGCTTGCCAATGTTTCAAGCCTATTGGTTTCTTTTTGGCACATGTTAGTCATAATAGTGTTTTGGTCATGTACAACTTTCGGGTCAACCCACCTGTTTTTTATGGTAAGTCAGACTTTATTATAAAGACTGGAAATCATCAACTGCATTGCTGTACTAATCCATTAGGATGTGATATAATGGACATTTTCATTATACCAGTATGAAATGAATATCACAAAAGAAACAAGTACATTTTGTATGCAGCAAAATGCTATTTAATCCAAGATGGCCATCATGACTTCTGACTGGCTGAGGCCATGAAAACTTCACTTTTTCCTCTGTTGATTGTATAAGCTTGTTTTGGTATAAAATAGAAACTGTCTGATTACATAAAATGTTGGTTTATAATGTCTAATGTGTAATATGATGGATTGTGTTTTGCTTTAAATCCTTTATAATAGATGTCACTGCACTATCACTGTTTTTTTTGTGTGTCTTTCAGAAACAGGATCTGTAACATCAGGAGGTACAGAGTTTGGAAGCTATGCAGCTGACATCTCTGAGGTGAGTGATGATCACACAGCTCCAGACCAGTATTGCTTTCTGTCATTATAGCTTCTTGCTCAAAAATGATTATATAATACATGCTTTTCTTAGCAATATTTATTTTACACACATGTTGTATTTGGGTTTAGCAACAATTTAGACATCCTTTGTCTAGTTAAGATTTCCTGAAATATTGAATGAATCATACATAAGTGTGTGAATGGATACATGCTTGAGTCACTTCATGTTATAGATAAGGTGACATGAAAGACAGATGTGCACATAAATTTCTCTACTTATGCTAAGTTGATGTTTTCCTTTGACTCTGTTACACCAACTTATGTTAATAAGGCTTCTACTAATTCATGTGCAGTTTTACCTATTGATACCAAAAAAATTTAATTAAACTGTAAGATAAACTGCTTTATGATGTACTTTTAGCATTATTGCTGAGCAGGCCATGACCCACTCTACACTAGTACATCTTTTATCCCTCGAGAATACCTATGTACTTTTCACTTTAAGCCAATTACACATCCATGCAGTTCACTTGTCAATTCGTAAAGCTTTCACTTAAAGGTAGTTCTGGTTCGATTTGCATCCACCAACCCATCTTAAAAACCCCAATTTGCAAAGCAAATGTGGTTCTTTGGCTGACTTAAGCTTATATGACTACATTGACAATTTGCATAAAATGTAACACATATTGAAGTGAAGTTAATTCTCCGTGGGCAATGTTAACAAAACACAATTCTGTATACCAATATTTTGCTCACATGCAAATATTGATGAGTAGACCATTTTGTAACCTTTAAATCTTCTTGGAGAGGTAGCCTTTTCTTACAAGTGCTCGTTTAATATCATGCTGTACTGTTTTGTCTGTATTGACACTTTTTGTTCAACAACAAAGTACTGTGTTAAATAAAGGTAGCAGTAATATGGTTGTAACATTTAGTTAGTACATTACTTAGATCCACACAGGATCAACTTTATGCAAGTTTTGTATTGACTATTTGAGATACAACTAAGGACTGTATTTTTTTATTAATATTGCAATGCCTGTGATACAAAAATTGATCATATTTATACAAACTGTATTGTAAGTACCTCCAGTATGTTGAGGTGATTTTGAATGAACATGTCCTTGATGAAACTATTTGTGATTTAAAACTTTGAAACTGGAGAAGTTTAAAAAATACCGAGTGTCATTATTTAAACTTTGATAAGTGTTTATTAAATCCAAGTAAGAAATCTGAACTTCAATATCAATGGACTCTTAATGACATCTTTAAAATGCCATGTAACAAAAGCTATAATTATGGACAGTACTGTAAGGTGGACCCTGAGGCTATATGGTGGGAAAACGTTTACCTAGCGTAAAGCATATTGATTACGATATGGAAATTATATTGATCAATCTGTTCTTACGAGAAACGAATTAACTCAGTATACTGCCATTTCATAAAACCATTTCACTTTAATCTTATGAATTATTCAGATGTTTTGATTAAAGTCTTTCTTTCAATTTTTTTTTCTGAAATTGAAAAATAACAACAAACATTTCAACTTGATTTATTAGCTAACCTTTAATTGGATGAAGATTAATTATTCAATGTTAAGAAATTTACATTCCAATGGATGTGATTAATGTTATGTTGGTATATTCTATTGCGTGTAATGCTGATTTCTGATAATGATTAATCTGTGTATACATAACGTAAATTAAATGTGTCCAGTTTCAAAAGACTGCATATGCATCTGATGCAAGTTTTGACATGTTATTTTGCATAAACTTACAAAGTGTAACCTGCCTATAGCCAATACAACAATTAGCACTTCCAAATGCATTTCCATTTACAAGGTACCAGACACTGATTGCTTAAATTAGTATTTGGTGATAAATGGTTGAAATTTTTTGCTGTAAATTGAACTATTAACAAAATATCCTTCAACATTGATTATTCAATACTGTTTATTTTTTTTAATGCCAAAAAATAATTTGTCTTTGTTGTGTATCTAGCCCATGATTAACAAACATTTTACACATATTTATCCAAGTAAACAGATATGGTCCCACATAGAGATGTTGTAATTACTTGAACATAACTTGATGGTGTATTAACATCTATTACTAAGTAGTAAGGTACAGCAGTACAGACAAGTAGATTGTCATGTTTTTAAGGCAATCTGTACCTTTATTGCTACACAAAATATTACACATTATATAGTTATATACCTGGTAGTTATGCCTTGAATGATAATGTAACAATGTTCCAATAACCCCTTCGATCTTCTGAATGCCGAAGGCCATTCTCAAAACAGCGAAAATGCATTGTGTAGTGAGGCTTGAAAGATAATAATTCAAATTTATGCTGATGTAAATCTCAGTGCTGTGTGTACGACAACCTACTGAGCCTATACATGTGAGTGAGATTGCTGAGTGTCAAGTCCTTAGAAAAGTGGTTGTTAGGACATTTCTGTCCCACCCCAAATTATAACCTGATAGTTAAACAGTAATGATATAATAAAAAGTTAAATTAATGTATGTTTAGGCAGAGAGAAAAAGTTGTTTTTGATTATAGTCACCAGTTACAAAAACAAAAAAGGGTTGAGAGTGGTTAATAGTGACTTAGTCAACTCACTTTGGAAAAACCCACCCCACAGATTGCATCCTGATTCTTAGGTCAAGTTTGATATAGGCAGCAATTTTAGAGAGGAACAAAAGACATAAGAACTACATCAAAATTCTAATTTTGAAATTGATAAGTGGAAAATAAATGATGAAAAGGCTGAACTAAAAGCATGTTACAGCAGGGACCCACAGCACTATTTGCCTTAGTTTGTAATGGGGTAGGATGTGCTGACTATGAGGTAGATCTGACCAGACAGGGACCCACAGCACTAGTTGCCTTAGTTTGTAATGGGGGTAGGATGTACTGACTATGAGGTAGATCTGACCACACAGGGACCCACAGCACTAGTTGCCTTAGTTTGTAATGGGGTTGGATGTACTGACTATGAGGTAGATCTGACCAGACAGGGACCCACAGCACCAGTTGCCTTAGTTTGTAATGGGGTAGGATGTGCTGACTATGAGGTAGATCTGACCAGACAGGGACCCACAGCACTAGTTGCCTTAGTTTGTAATGGGGGTAGGATGTACTGACTATGAGGTAGATCTGACCACACAGGGACCCACAGCACTAGTTGCCTTAGTTTGTAATGGGGTAGGATGTACTGACTATGAGGTAGATCTGACCAGACAGGGACCCACAGCACCAGTTGCCTTAGTTTGTAATGGGGTAGGATGTGCTGACTATGAGGTAGACCTGACAAGACAGGGACCCACAGCACTAGTTGCCTTAGTTTGTAAAGGTTAGGATTTACTGACTATGAGGTAGATCTGACCACACAGGGACCCACAGCACCAGTTGCCTTAGTTTGTAATGGGGGTAGGATGTACTGACTATGAGGTAGATCTGACCAGACAGGGACCCACAGCATCAGTTGCCTTAGTTTGTAATGGGGGTAGGATGTACTGACTATGAGGTAGATCTGACCAGACAGGGACCCACAGCACCAGTTGCCTTAGTTTGTAATGGGGTAGGATGTACTGACTATGAGGTAGACCTGACCAGACAGGGACCCACAGCACCAGTTGCCTTAGTTTGTAATGGGGGTAGGATGTACTGACTATGAGGTAGACCTGACCAGACAGGGACCCACAGCACTAGTTGCCTTAGTTTGTAATGGGGAAGGATGTACTGACTATGAGGTAGACCTGACCACACAGGGACCCACAGCACCAGTTGCCTTAGTTTGTAATGGGGTAGGATGTACTGACTATGAGGTAGACCTGACCAGACAGGGACCCACAGCACTAGTTGCCTTAGTTTGTAATGGGGGTAGGATGTACTGACTATGAGGTAGATCTGACCAGACAGGGACCCACAGCACCAGTTGCCTTAGTTTGTAATGGGGGTAGGATGTACTGACTATGAGGTAGATCTGACCAGACAGGGACCCACAGCACTAGTTGCCTTAGTTTGTAATGGGGGTAGGATGTACTGACTATGAGGTAGATCTGACCAGACAGGGACCCACAGCACTAGTTGCCTTAGTTTGTAATGGGGGTAGGATGTACTGACTATGAGGTAGATCTGACCAGACAGGGACCCACAGCACCAGTTGCCTTAGTTTGTAATGGGGGTAGGATGTACTGACTATGGGGACCCACAGCACCAGTTGCCTTAGTTTGTAATGGGGTAGGATGTACTGACTATGAGGTAGACCTGACCAGACAGGGACCCACAGCACCAGTTGCCTTAGTTTGTAATGGGGTAGGATGTACTGACTATGAGGTAGATCTGACCAGACAGGGACCCACAGCACCAGTTGCCTTAGTTTGTAATGGGGTAGGATGTACTGACTATGAGGTAGACCTGACCAGACAGGGACCCACAGCACCAGTTGCCTTAGTTTGTAATTGGGTAGGATGTACTGACTATGATATTGATCTGACCACACAGGGACCCACAGCACTATTTGCCTTAGTTTGTAATGGGGTAGGATGTACTGACTATGAGGGATCTGACCCACACAGCACCAGTTGCCTTAGTTTGTAATGGGGTAGGATGTACTGACTATGAGGTAGATCTGACCAGACAGGGACCCACAGCACTAGTTGCCTTAGTTTGTAATGGGGGTAGGATGTACTGACTATGAGGTAGATCTGACCAGACAGGGACCCACAGCACCAGTTGCCTTAGTTTGTAATGGGGGTAGGATGTACTGACTATGGGGACCCACAGCACCAGTTGCCTTAGTTTGTAATGGGGTAGGATGTACTGACTATGGGGACCCACAGCACCAGTTGCCTTAGTTTGTAATGGGGTAGGATGTACTGACTATGAGGTAGATCTGACCAGACAGGGACCCACAGCACCAGTTGCCTTAGTTTGTAATGGGGGTAGGATGTACTGACTATGAGGTAGATCTGACCAGACAGGGACCCACAGCACCAGTTGCCTTAGTTTGTAATGGGGGTAGGATGTACTGACTATGAGGTAGATCTGACCAGACAGGGACCCACAGCACCAGTTGCCTTAGTTTGTAATGGGGTAGGATGTACTGACTATGGGGACCCACAACACCAGTTGCCTTAGTTTGTAATGGGGGTAGGATGTACTGACTATGAGGTAGACCACAGCACCAGTTGCCTTAGTTTGTAATGGGGTAGGATGTAGACTATGGGGACCCACAGCACCAGTTGCCTTAGTTTGGGGGTACCCACAGCACCAGTTGCCTTAGTTTGTAATGGGGGTAGGATGTACTGACTATGAGGTAGATCTGACCAGACAGGGACCCACAGCACCAGTTGCCTTAGTTTGTAATGGGGGTAGGATGTACTGACTATGGGGACCCACAGCACCAGTTGCCTTAGTTTGTAATTGGGTAGGATGTACTGACTATGATATTGATCTGACCACACAGGGACCCACAGCACTATTTGCCTTAGTTTGTAATGGGGTAGGATGTACTGACTATGGGGACCCACAGCACCAGTTGCCTTAGTTTGTAATGGGGGTAGGATGTACTGACTATGAGGTAGATCTGACCAGACAGGGACCCACAGCACCAGTTGCCTTAGTTTGTAATGGGGGTAGGATGTACTGACTATGAGGTAGATCTGACCAGTTGCCTTAGTTTGTAATGGGGGTACAGGGACCCACAGCACCAGTTGCCTTAGTTTGTAATGGGGTAGGATGTACTGACTATGGGGACCCACAGCACCAGTTGCCTTAGTTTGTAATGGGGTAGGATGTACTGACTATGAGGTAGATCTGACCGGACAGGGACCCACAGCACCAGTCGCCTTAGTTTGTAATGGGGGTAGGATGTACTGACTATGAGGTAGATCTGACCACACAGGGACCCACAGCACCAGTTACCTTAGTTTGTAAAGGTTAGGATGTACTGACTATGGGGACCCACAGTACCTGTTGCCTTAGTTTGTAATGGGGTAGGATGTACTGACTATGATATTGATCTGACCACACAGGGACCCACAGCACTATTTGCCTTAGTTTGTAATGGGGTAGGATGTACTGACTATGAGGTAGATCTGACCGTACAGAGAACCACAGCACCAGTTGCCTTAGTTTGTAATGGGGTAGGATGTACTGACTATGATATTGATCTGACCACACAGGGACCCACAGCACTATTTGCCTTAGTTTGTAATGGGGTAGGATGTACTGACTATGAGGTAGATCTGACCACACAGGGACCCACAGCACCAGTTACCTTAGTTTGTAAAGGTTAGGATGTACTGACTATGAGGTAGATCTGACCACACAGGGACCCACAGCACCAGTTGCCTTAGTTTGTAATGGGGTAGGATGTACTGACTATGATATTGATCTGACCGACAGGGACCCACAGCACCAGTTGCCTTAGTTTGTAATGGGGTAGGATGTACTGACTATGAGGTAGATCTGACCACACAGGGACCCACAGCACTAGTTGCCTTAGTTTGTAATGGGGTAGGATGTACTGACTATGAGGTAGATCTGACCACACAGGGACCCACAGCACTAGTTGCCTTAGTTTGTAATGGGGTAGGATGTACTGACTATGAGGTAGATCTGACCAGACAGGGACCCACAGCACCAGTTGCCTTAGTTTGTAATGGGGTAGGATGTACTGACTATGATATTGATCTGACCAGACAGGGACCCACAGCACTAGTTGCCTTAGTTTGTAATGGGGGTAGGATGTACTGACTATGAGGTAGACCTGACCACACAGGGACCCACAGCACTAGTTACCTTAGTTTGTAAAGGTTAGGATGTGCTGACGATGATATTGATCTGACCGACAGGGACCCACAGCACCAGTTACCTTAGTTTGTAAAGGTTAGGATGTGCTGACGATGATATTGATCTGACCGACATGTCTGATGTAGCATGTTCCAAACATATCTGTTGTTCTGCTGCTTAATCCATGATATTCTTCACCCATGATTGCTGGTCACAACATATGAACTAATTCCTATGTGATATGACCTATTTATTGCTGGTTACCTCCTGCAGCGGTCAGTGAGGACCACCTGCAGGTCATCCACTCATGAATCAGCATGTTCTACATCGTTTTACTTCTTCAAATTGTTGTTTATTATTACTTCATCGATCATATGTCTGTTCCAATAAAATTACATCCAATGAGCATTTGTTGGTCAATATAATACCATACTGTTTACATTACTTTATTTTTCTCTCTATATCTGTGTGTAATATGTAAGGTAACATGTTGTTTTTGATCATCTTTTGTTATCAGACACCTGCATTTAGCCATGCTAAACCAGCCATTGTTCCAACCTCCCCTGCAACACTGTCAGCTCTCGTAGATATCTCTGCTGAACAGAAAACCATCTCCGATCTCAGGTAAGCTCTTTATCAAACCTCTGCTGACTGCATTTTGGACAGAAAACCAACTTGCTTGAACTCTTTATCAAAGCTATGTTGAACTCAGTGTCAGACAGAAAACCATCTTCAACCTTAGGTAAGCTCGTTATCAAACCTTTACTGAACTCAATGGCATACAGAAAATCATATCAGACCGCAGGTAAGCTCTTTATCAAACCGACACTGAACTCAATATTAGACAGGAAATCATCTCTGACCTCAGGTAAGCTCTTTATCAAACCTATACTGAACTCAATATTAGACAGGAAATCATCTCTGACCTCAGGTAAGCTCTTTATCAAACCTATACTGAATTCAATATTAGACAGGAAATCATCTCTGACCTCAGGTAAGCTCTTTATCAAACCTATACAGAACTCAATATTAGACAGGAAATCATCTCTGACCTCAGGTAAGCTCTTTATCAAACCTATACTGAACTCAATATTAGACAGGAAATCATCTCTGACCTCAGGTAAGCTCTTTATCAAACCTATACTGAATTCAATATTAGACAGGAAATCATCTCTGACCTCAGGTAAGCTCTTTATCAAACCTATACTGAACTCAATATTAGACAGGAAATCATCTCTGACCTCAGGTAAGCTTTTTATCAAACCTATGTTAACTCAATATTAGACAGGAAATCATCTCTGACCCCTGGTAAGCTCTTTGTCACACCAATGCTGAACACAATGTCTGACATAACACCATCTTTGTCGGATCTCTAGTTCAGCATGCACATATTGAATGTTATACCCTTGTTTACCTTTCTGAAGCACAAAACCAGACCTTGTGTATGTTCATCTTTGGTGAAAAACCATGGGTAACCATTGCCTCAGACTGTAGGAAATTATTGTGTAACATAAAACATTCTTTAATTCATCCTTTTATTTAGTTTGGTGTTCAGTATTTGGTGGATCCCTCATATAAATCAGCTCTTGTCAGTTACACCAATGTAAAAGAATGTTGAATCCATTGTCATGACTCTAAATATTCTGGTATTCATAATTTTATTGATTTTTGTAGCAATTGTGGTTCTCTTGAATTAAAAAAGTTGAACTAAATTATGAATTAAAAGTTTACATTTTGGAATTAAAAGTTTAACTAATTAATTGAAAGTTCAACTACATTTCTGAATTAAAAGGTCAACTACATTTCTGAATTAAAAGTTTAACTACATTTCTGAATTAAAAGTTTAACTACATTTCTGAATTAAAAGTTTAACTACATTTATGATCCTAGAACATTGTAAAATATAATGATATGTGTGTAGATAGATAATAAATGTGTTTATTCAGAATTTATTTACGTAATTATTGTCTCATTGGTATGATAGGTTATCCACCAATTCTTAATTAATAAGCAAAAATTGTAAGTAATGGGTTATAAATTTGTTAGGACAGATAAACTTAAAAAAATCTCATGAGCTTAGATTTATGATCATCTTACAAAAACTATAAACTTAATTATCATCAGGAATGTAATCAGACATTACTTGCCTGACATTTCTTGGTAATGGAGTGAAATTATGTTATGTTGATGTTTGGATTGTGGTTGAGGATATCAATAATACAATATGTATATTAGTAACACTAAAGTAACCAGAATAGCTTGGTAAATAGATGTAAAATTTCTATTACTATAAGAGTACTAATATACAAGGGAGGTATAAATCACCTTAATGATGTTCTGAGTACACAAAGTAAATATGTTTTATTTATTATCCTCCTGAAGCTTGTCTACAACACACCAGCTGTTATAAATTACGTTTTCATTTTTGAAAGAAGTAATTGAAGTTTAAATCTAGATAAAAATACCTCTCTTTGATTTAAATAAAAATTTGTCAGAATGTCCTCAGAAGGAAAATGTTTTTTTCATATAATTCAATTTGTCAAGAAGGGGAACACTGTATAAATTATGAAAGTATTGAATGACAGACAGGAAGATAAATCTGTTGTATATAGTTCTATACTACTTAGTGATAGTAAGTGACCTTTTCTATCAGTCCTGTACTATAATTAATAATAGTCCTACTGAAGGTGTCTCAATCTTAACCTATACTGGAATCTGATGTTTTTAAACAGAGATTTATTTTAATGATGATGTTCATGTAAAATTAACTTATACTATCAAAGTTTTATTCAAATTCATATCTATAAAGAAAAATAAATGCTTTGAAATGGTGATTGTATTTTACAGGTTTGTGAAATTCATCAATGATTTGTCAAATTGTCTCACCTAGCTAGTCATCTCCTCATTTTATGTCACCATTTTATCTTCAGGTATTCCAAGTTGAGTATACATATATAACCAAATTGAGCAAATCTAGAGTAAATATTAAGCAAAAGAAATCATACTATGAAGACAAATGGAAGATTCATAGTCAGAATTTTTTTATTGATTCTATAATTGAGGTTTCACTAACATTGTATGTTTGTTCAGGACTCAGCTGGATGCTCAGAGGAAGGAAACAGATCGACTCCAACATCACATGTTAAATGACTACCCCATGTCCAAACATGTCCCCATTCAGTCTTCTATGATACCGAGCAGTCCATCTAAAACAGGATTCTCTACTCTCCCCTCCACAGAACTCTTCTCTGCGAGGAGACCAGCTTATGAATATGGACCACCGTATGTTTTATGTTGCTTAATCAAATACAGTTTGTATATACTATTAGTCAAATTTAGCATGATAAACATTAAAAAAATTATCGAAAGAAAAACATTTCTAATTAACATGAGAATTACAATTCATATTAAAAGTTTTGGTGAAAATAAGGTTATTTTTGTTTGTCGCAATATCAAAAATATGACTTGAGGATTGAGGAATAACAAATCAGCATTTTCAGTGAAAATATATCAAAGGTTTTAATTACCATATTGTGTTCTGGCAATTCAGTTGCCTATGTATCACACAAATAAATCATGTGATCTTATCAGGTTTGTATTGACTGAAAATATAAATCCTTGACATATTTCATTAGAGTTACTCCTTCATTAATCTGTGGTATTTCATTATGAGTTTTCCTTTTAAATTCAATCTTCACTTTATTTGTTCAATTGATATATTGAGATCTTGCTCTCTGCAATATTTACTTTTCAGTTACAGGTATTTTTTCTTAAAAAAATGCAAATGTTTATATTCATTGTTAAATACAGATTAAGCTAATCAGACACATTGTATAATTGGTTTTGTTGATGTACAGATCTCACTTGGAGAAGGCCCTCAAGGATTCTCAGGAACAAGTTACAGATCTCAGAAGGAGACTACAGGAGGTGGGTGTGACCAGGACTCCAATTTACATCCTGGTGTAGATATTGTCATCAGATATTGGCTTAAACATGTTTTATTGAAACAAAGAGATTGGGTGCAAGCTATTGAACTTACGGTCTCAGAATTCAGAATTTTAAATTTCACTCAATGTAAAAAAAAATAGGGTACTGTTTGAAATACACTACATGATATATTTTTTTTTACAATTGAAGCACACTAACTCTGTTTTTCAAGTGCTGTGTAACATTTTCTGGGTTCAGGGGCTGCAATTCAATATTAGTTTAATCAATGTTTGGTCCATATTCCAAAGTGTTTGATTTTGTTGTGAAAATATTGATACAATTTCAGTATTGTATCATCTATTTGTTTGTAGTCAACCCCTACAGAAGAGTTTTTAGAAATCCAATATCCACGACTTGCTAGACTTCAACAAACTATGCAGGAATATTATCAAGAGGTCTGAGAGTCATATTGTGATGTTAGATATTTCAAATAAGATAACAATCAAGCAGGTTTACAAATTAACTCTATAATCATAACATGAAGTAAACATATTATGAATGCCTGGTTAAAATGTGTTATAACAGTTGATGATCTTAACTCTGTTGGCATGTTGCTGTCATTGCTTGGATTCATTATGACCTTTAGTTAGCTTTTTGAATAAATGTTGATATATCTTACCTAACTTGGTTTTTCATACTTTTTATTAATAACTACTTGCATGTCTGCAAAATTTTCAAACAGGTTTGTTAATATGACATTGTGTGTTAGAACATATAAGTCCATTTTGTTAAATGTGGTATTGTGTGTTAGTACTTTTAAGTCCATTTTGTTAAATGTGACATTGTGTGTTGGTTCATATCAATACACATTGTCACATATGCTGGATCTCTTCAATACAGCTTGGTAAGGAAATTGATAGTCATGTTGATAATATGTCTTTGGTAACCAACCATAGTAAGGCAAAATAGCACTGTTCATTACTGTATACAGGTAAAAAAGAGGGGAGATAATTCTATATCCATTAGTTGTGTTTGACAAATAATTGAGTTTATGTGTGCTTCAGTCTTGACAAATAAATACATATTAACTAGAGATTGTAATTTATAACATTTGGTAATTGTTACAAACACAATAACATGTCGCTTTCTGAAAGATAAAAGTTGTGTTTCTATTGCTGACTAATAAAGGCAACAGAATTTAACATTTTGTTTAGTTAGTTCTATAACACATTAAAATGGATATCAAAATTTGACTTAATTCAGGAGAGTTTAAAATATTCCATTATGCTTATTAGTTTTAATTAGTTATAACTATCAAAAGTCATAATACTGATTTACTTCATCATTGGATAATAAAGAGACCAAACTTCATACAATTTTATAAATATCATGAAAATATAATGTATACATAAGTGGAATATTCTTTGCAGATACAATTTTTTCTTTATGGATACTTTTATTTGTACATTTTAGATGGTTTTTACATTCTTCTTGTCTCAGTGGAGGAAATATCTCGTACATGGTTAAGTCAGTTGTTTTGAGTTCATAAATTTCTTTTTGATTGTGACATTACACATGTATCATGATTTCAGGCCAATGAACAATCCGAGTTACAGAAAAGGCAATTTCGTAGTAACATAGAGGAGCTGAAAGGGAAACTTCATGAAACCGTGACCAATAGAGAGGCTGTCCTAGATCTACGGTAAGTATTACTCACTAATCAAATGTGAAAGTGTCAAAAATCTATGAAGAAATATGAATTTCTTTCAGAGAATTTATATAAACTAGTCCTCTATGACCTGATTTTATAACAATTTGCTGTAACAATAATCTGATGCATAAATTTTATTATGCTGTATTTCCTGAGCTTACCAGTATACCTATCAACTTCTGAGTTGAAATGGTTAAAATCCTGTTAATCTATGTATTTGTAATTCCCTCTAGGACAAAATGATAGCACATGGTCATTTATCTAAGATGTTCTAATCAATGTACTTATGAAAAGTTGGTACAGAATTCTATAGACTTAAAGTGATAGTCAAGGAAACCTCAAACAAAAAGATATATTTAGTAGTGATTGTCACCTGTAACTTGATAATTTCAAAGCCTAGATTGACGGATGTTTACTTGAGAGATTGTGAATTCAGAAAAGTTATAATTTCATGAGGGAAGGGAGATAATTCAGTTTATATGATAATGGTTATGTGTGGCCATTGGGTCATAGATTTGATTTATGAATATGAAAATGACACCTTATTTAATGAATTAACATGTCGGTGTAATTAACATATTTTCTTATGATCAGTCTAAAAGAATCGTCCAATCAGGAGGCTATGTTAGCAAAGATGCAAACTCAGGTACAGCAGCTGACGGAGAAATGTCGGGCTCAAGAGGAGGTGAGTGTGTCAGAGTGTGATCATATGTTGTGTTGATTATCTCAATTATTTATGTTGATGAGGTGATTTGTTTACCATAATTTACTCCAAAATGTTGTCATAGTATAACTTATAAGAGAAAACTTTTTTAGACCTATGAGATGAAATAAAAGGAAGTGACATTATTATATGCTGACTGCATGTCGTGTATTTGTTTGTTTATACACTACTAGTTTTCCTGATTGTTAAATGGTGTTAAAACGGTGAAACATTAACATGAACTTTTTCATGATATGACAATCAAAGTTTTATGTTGTTAGATGTTTTAATGTCAGTTCAATGTTTGACTTTTTTAATTGATCAGATAATGTTATAAAATGTTATGATAACAATAATGGATTCAAACATATATCTAAGGAGGATATAATATTAAAAAAAATCATGAGCAATATGACATTTTCATTACACTAGTATTCCTACAGGTTGAGTACTTGTGTATCTGTAAATAATTATTTTAATAAAAAAAAATTTCATTGTGTATTTGCAAATAAATTCTATAGTTCTGGAGTGACATGTATATATAAATGGATTTAGGGCTTATGAATAGCTTTTACAGTATTTTGAGTAACTACACTGTATACATATCATTTGTATTGAAAAATGGCCCTATAACCTTCTGAAATATAGACCACTTATTTTTCTTGAGTTCCTTTCAAAATATATATTAGGACCCCATTTAATCTGAAAAAGACCCTGCATATATAATATAGTGAGGATATATAAGAAAAACTTTATTGGGATGATAAAACCTTCATTAAAATTCTGGAAGTTTTTTATAGGGAATACTGTGTATAATCTTTGTCAGGCACTGAGTAATGCAGGGAGGCAGATGGATGATAACACACGGGACAAGTATCTGTTGGATACAGCTATCAGCCAGATCAGGCAGATCCTTGTTGATGCTGAAAGGAAGCGTGGACATCCATTCTTTGATTCTGACCCAGTTGCTAAACAAGCACCTGGTATGCTTGTTCATACTGTGGAAAGATGTTTACAGGAAATGAGTGCAGATGTCACCCAGAAATCACAGAAAATACATGAGGTATGCATGTGAATAGCTTTATTTTTTCCGTAATTACTCATCTTTACTTTTTGATACCTCTGATTTGAGGTCTTGATTTCAGGTAATTAATGATAAGGCATGTACAGTGTCCTCAAACTCACTCACTCAAACAGTCAGTTGTATCACTGTATACATTTCTATACAAATAGCCAGTTCAGAATTGAAGAATAACAGACTAATTTTGCTTGCAACTGATTTTAATGAAAACGCTAAAGGAGGTTCTTGTGTATTATACTGAATTGGAAAAAGGAAAGCATGTTTTAAAATAAGTTAGATAAAAAATGATTATAAAAAATTGCTACATATTTGCAGTTCAAGTTAAAATGTCACTTAAAATAGACAAGGTTCAAGGTTGATTTGTCTTACAGCTGGAGAAGGAAATTCTGTCCCTGAAACACAATGTTAGCCATGACAAGGAGACCCTTCTCAGGGAACAACAAGACAAGTATGTTTCATGCCTCTTTTGTACTTACCTCCCTTCATCTATTGTAGATTGTGTAGAAAAAATAGGTGTATAGTTTATTAAGTTTGAATTCTAATAGAAAACATTACTTTTGTGGGTTATTTTATTGTCATTAAGTTAAATGTTTATATACGAAAAAGTATGAAAATTTCTTTATAATATGTCTTTATAATACTCTAAGATGTCAGCACATATATATGAATATGTTACTAAATCAGCAGGTATACTTTACAGTTGTGGGATCACACAACAAAACATGATGTGTGATGTGTGTACAATGTCTGCATGATGTGTGCTATGCAATAGGAAAACTGGGCAAAATTTGATGTCGCGCATATGTTGTTATGGCATTGATGTGCAATTCTATCATGGTTAGTATAAAAGGAATGGAGTTTGAAGTGTGGGATAGGTTTTACTTATATTCTATATACATTGAATTCAGTTAAATAAATTCCCTAATTAAGCCATGCTTATTGATCAAACACATATAGATCTCTCAGGTACAGTCATAATGGTTAAATATACACAGGTAAGAGTGTTTTGTTTCACACTTTTTTGTGTACAGATACTCATTGTAAGTAAACATTAAATGGATATCTCTTTTAGCCTCAGCAATGAATCATCTAAAATCTGATACTATCAGAAAGGAAATTTACATTGCTAACATATCGCTACCTTTTTTTCTATCTTTTTGTAAAAGCAAAAAATATATCCTCTGGTAAATTTTAAGTGTTGTGTTTGTTACACTAGAGACTTAGCCAATACAATTTTTGCTGTGGAGGGAAACCTATACACGAGAAAGACTAAGTAATGCAAGGTTCCGTTGTATTTTGCTAATTGTCAATCCATAGTACTAATGAACCTTGCTGACCAATTTTCACAAAATATGCAATGATACTGCACAGTTGTGTGCAAGGTACTGTATCATTCATGTGTGCGCATGATGTGTTGATGATGTATGCATGATTTGCACACCAAGTTTTTAATGCATTGTGGGATCCCACAACTGTATATCATTCAAAAAAGCATAAATGAAAATAATGTCTGATACAGTAATATTGTTTTCAGGTCAGTCAAACTTAATGACATTTTTTCACTTATTAGTTGCTTTTTTATTAGCTACATAGAATTTTGGATAGTTCTATATATCTTATAAATTTTATTAAAACTTTCTTCAATTTTTTTAATTTGGACAATAGCTGCATTACTTGAATAGTTTTTTCCGGATCCTAGAACTTTTACCTTAATGATTGCCTGTAGATTTGTATGTAAAGCTTTATCAATTGAACACATTGAAAATCATATAAATTCTTTTACATTATAGAGTGATAAACAATTAAATAACATTTTCTGTTTCTGTAAAAATTATAAATTTAAACACTATACAAGTTCATTAAAATGACATCTGTGAACATTAGCATATCATTTATACAAGTTTATGTAGTTCATACATAAAATACACGACATCACTATATCACAAAATCATTTACTGATTTACATACTGTGTTTGAAGTTAAAGAAATAACAAAATGTGGAAATAAAACTTAATTCATGATATATACCAGTGTCAACAGTGGTATTACTTTGTGTGTTACAAGTAGACCACTGATGTTTTGAGTATTTTATCATGGTGTCCTGCCAATATGGTAGAAGTGTCACCCTCATGGTGTGTAATATTGTGTGACACTCTGTAGCATCACTAGCCATTTCACACTCGTTTGTCTCTGGTCTCTTCACACACTGTACACTGCACTGTTGTTCCATCACAGAGAACAGGAGGAACTAGCAATCTTCAGGAAGTAAGTCTGTGCCTGGAAATTTCATTATTAATAAAAGTTGTAGCTTTATACATGTTTGTGTGGTATATCCCTGTTTAACAGCCTGACACAGTGTACATAAAAGCATTTGGTAAGAGAGAGTTAGTGACACAGAATAACAACAACACCTTCCCCTTTAAAGTTAACTCCAGGGAGTCAATATTGAGTGTTCAGCAGAGTGGTCAACAATTTTAAATATAGTCTTCAGTTAATGAATTGTGTGCAGAGAATCAACATGGTCTTGGGTCATTATATTGTATCTTAATCTTTCTCAAGTTGTGAAATCACATGATCTTGGATCATACACTATAATTCAGTATGTGTTAAGTTCTACAGGTGTAAAATCACATGATCTTAGGTCATTAAACTATAATTCAGTATGTGTTAAGTTCTACAGGTGTAAAATCACATGATCTTAGGTCATTAAACTATAATTCAGTCTATGTAAAGTTCCACAGGTGTAAAATCAAATGATTTTAGGTCATTAAACTATAATTCAGTCTGTAAAGTTTCATAGATATAGAATCACATGATCTTGGATAATCAGTCTGTACCAATATAAAGTTTAAGATTATGTATCACATTGCAAACGAAGCCAGAAAATTGATATTGACTTGTAGTTTCTGATTCACAAACACGTGTTCTGAAGTCGTTTGACTCAGAAAGTCTGGTCCCTAAATACTGCCCACACTAATCCATCCTTGTCTACAGTAACAGCCAGAGCCTTGCCTTTGTCTGTGTGAAGAAGTCGAAGGTATTGCCCATTACCACTCAGAAGATGCAGGCAGTTGTTGTCTTGGTCGGCAATCACCAGGTGTCCCAGACTACCAAACGCTACATCCAGGGGATGAAATGGTTGTGATAGAGGCTCACATGTGTGTTGAGCACATCCATACTTATATAGTTTTTTCAAGTTTTTGTCCATCACTATTACAGATGGATCATTCTCACCTCTGCATTGTGCCAAGCCCTTTTCAGCTATGACAATGTTTTCACTGAGTGGACACTGATATTTTCCTTGGTGAGCACACTACTGATCTCAGAAGCATGTGCACTGATGCCATGATAGGGTTGCATCCTTTTCCATTTGACGTATATTTGGTGATTTCATGTTTGGTTCCCACAAGAATGTCATCATCCCTTGTAACACAAATGGAGTAGATTTCATTCTTTATATTGAATCTGTGAGTTGGTTTCCCTGATACTAGCTCCATAACACTGTTGTCTGTTGAAGAGCATAACCAGAGGTTGTGTGTAGTTGGAGAAATACTGATATCAGTGACTAAGACAGAACACTGTATCTCCTGTTGTATTACTCCTTGGTTTGTCAGGTGTATCAGTGTGTTACTGTTTCCTTGACATATCCACAGGCCACCTTCACTGGAGGGACAAATAGAACTGATGTCACAGGGAGCCTTCCATTCTGAGAGAACCCTCATCTGGACATTGGTTCGTGGTCCTAGTGTGTTAAGTTGTGCAGAACTGGTTTGTGTCATGTCTGAAAATTGTTCAGGTATGGTGGTGGTCAATTTTGCCAATGCCTGTACCAGGATACTGTCGATGATTATGTTTGAACTCAGGTTGACTTCACGAAGGATAGGTTTTTGAGGATGAACATAGGATGGAATTTGAAGTTGACAAACAGTTTCAAATACTTCTAAATCTCTGCCAGTTTGGAGGCATTTTTTACACTCTTCTACTCTTCCTTTCAAAATGTCAAGTACGGTCTTTAACTTCTTTTTATAACATTTCAGAAGTGTTTCATTTTCATCTTTTATTTCTTTCAACTGGGATGATAGTGTTTGACTTATCAAAAAATCAACATTGTCTTTGAGTTTCTGTCCTTGTGTTTTCACTTCCGCTGTGATATCCTTGAAATGACTAGAGAGCTCGTCTAGATTTTTCTGGGTGGAGATAATTTCCTGTTGAATTTCAATAATTTCAGTTTGCTCGCTTTCCCTAACATAAGTTTTTATCTTTTCTTTATTTTTAGGAGTCGTGTCACTCAGTTCAGTGATAGCATGTGCCTTGTGTAAATTTCCAATACATTTTGAACATATTGGTTTATCACATGTTTCACAAAACCAGTCTAACCTAACATCTATGTGGTTCAAACAGGTCTTCTGACCTTTGGAGGATACAGCAGTTTGTTTATTGTCAAAGATATAGGTCCACATAGTTTGCTTTTTTGCCATTGTTATGGTATCTTTAGCAATATCTCAACCTACACTTTCCAATTATGTACCTGGGTTAATATCCTTGTTGGTGGCAGATCATTGTATACTGACTGAAAATGAAAAAAAGGCCCAAAATTTACCATTGTAAATACTAGCTACAATATATTGCTCTGCTAGAAAGAATTTCTCTCTAGCTCAAATAGTTAAACATAAGACTGTCAAGCTAGAAATCCATGGTTTATTTCCTTGCACAGGTGTTTTAATAAATTATGACCTCTGTTACATTAAGAATTTTAAAACAAATTTTGCATAAGAGATGCTATCAACCTACCTGTCAATGATTAATAAAATCATCCCTTACTCTTTTTCTGGGAAAGATGATTGGTGTGCTTCACTTAATTCTGTGATACGTCACTGATCTTAAGTATGTGTACCAATACAATATTTAGCATTTCAACTCTTTGCCTCCCACATATGACATACTGGGGGATGAATTACAATGTGATTAAATTCAGATTGTGTTTTCTCTACCAAAGTTTATGTCTTGTTACATTTTATGCAGAAACTTTTCTGTGTGAAAAATTAATTGTACATTTATTAGGTTAGATGCATTAATATACCAGTAATATATGTAAAGGCTGGACCTCTTATGATAAAACTTTGAACATGCTGTGATAAACTCATCATTTCATCATACATCATGTATTGTTTATCAGCATTTTGTATAAAAACAAATAACATATATCAAAAGCTAACCAGGTGTAGTTTAAATTTTAAAAGATCTATAACAAAAATGGGGGGTGGGCTTAATACCGGGCAACCCCCCTGTGCATGGGAGTTGGCAGAAAGGGGGGGGGGGGGGTGGGCTTATTACCGAGCATGGGCTTATTGCCGGAGAAATACGGTATGGTACAACTGCACTCACATCTTGAAGTAGTCAATGTACCTTAGTTACAATATTTTCTCACACAACAGTATATAGTACAGGTTTTATAGAAATGCTTGCAGTGATCAGGGTATTGTATCTGTTGTCTGACAAGGAAAAAAGAACAAGGAGTTCATGAAAGAAGCTCTAATGTATTGCTCTTGTTCTTAAGATTCAATTTACTTTCCAGAAGACATTTTTATTTCGTTAAGTTACACTCAACAAGATATGTGTTTTTCTTTGGATACCCAGACTTAGTAGACTAGGGGCATACCCAAGCACGATATTCACTTTGGGGCTGGATGATCAGGAGACTATCACAAGGTGAAGGTTTGCTGGTGGTTATCTGAAAAAAACTCATCTAAAGCAGACTAGATTTTACTGATCAGCTGATCTAACCCACATGTATTAATATGTGTAAACGTGGCTTATATTTTGATAGTTAATAACTAAAAGGATTTATAATATGTATATATTTGAATTTCATTAAAGTCTGAAGTGTGTTATAATAAATAATATGCATGCATTATTGGTGTTCTCATACCACAATTAAATGGGACTATGTCCGGTTATAAATTATGTTAATCTTTAACTTACAAGGCTAAATAGATATCTGTTTCATTATTCTTGATAATAGATTTTCTAATTGAACAATACTGTTAAATTATTTAATGTTTAGTGTAGAATTTCTTACTTGAGAACCTTGGACATGTCCCATTGTATTCACACTCATTCACTTAGTGTTTTTGGTTTTAATGCTAATGCATTATCTAATGCATGTGCTTGCTTCATCTGTTTTATTACAGAATCTCATCCATGACTTCCGAACATGAAAAACAGATGCAGTCTGCGTCAGAACGGGCGAATAATGCCAGGAAACAGACTGTGACTTTGCAGTCTCAGCTAGCCATGATGGAGTATGACCTTATACCCTATTTGAAGGAGGGGTCTTCTTCACAATAACTTAACACAGCACACCAGCCACATAGTCTCTTATACTTTTTTGCATCTCATGCTAGTCACCTTGTACTAACATTCTACCGTTTTATATTATTATTTGATGGACTGGTCTTGTTAACTAAGCCGTAGCACTGTTGTCACTCTTAAGTCTGAGTTATCAGAATATTGTGGTAGTTTATGGATGGTACTATGAAAGATGGGAAATAAAACAATTTTTTCCCAATGCAGTTTATAAATTTATCACTGCAGGTAATTTACTGCAATTTCTTTGCAATTAGTATGTTTTTTAGACTACTCTTGTGCTTCTCATCAAATTTCTCCAACATACGTACAGCTGGACAATATAACCAACAGTAACCTGTATGTTCACTATAATGTAGCTCAGACAGCTGATATCAGAATTACTACTAAACTGTGTTATGTTTTTGTTTGGGAACTTACATGTTTGAATTTACCCTACTACAACACATGATTAAAGTTAACTGATGATTTATTCATAATTTCAATTTATTTCTAATACATATTTTTCAAAATTCTTTGCTTTGATACAGTGAAAGTAGGAGATTATTTAGCATTAATGCAGCATATTACTCTGTGATTATCATATAGCCATTTTTCTCTGTCACTTGTGTTTGTATTCATGTACAATGTGTTATGATAAATTGACCAATAGCCATCAGAGGCCGACATGCTTTTTCTTGTACAGAGTCAGATATTGTCCTAGAAGGGCTTCATATGTCTTGTAGCTAATCATAGTATGGTCTTTCTCAAATTACATTTGCACAAATCTGATATCTTTTGAAAGGTATCGTATCTTGTCTAAAAATAATAGAAGTTTAAATCTGAGGAAACAGTTCAGAATTGACACATTTGTAGATATATCTTCCACACATTCAGTGACATTAATTAATATAATCATACAATCAAACTTGTTGATAATTTTGAGGAATGATGAATTTGCATCCAATATGATTGGGATATAAATAACAACAGAAACTTCAATTAGTGTATATTTTACAGCAGAACACACTGAATCAGGGTTACCCTGGAAATAAATTACTGTATCATGTCTGTATCTGATCATTAGAGTCATCTTAATGTAAGTTAGATTGCAATATTTTTTAAAGTAATTGAAACCATTTGTTGGTAAAAACAAAGATGGGAATAGAAATGTTTAAAATTATCAAATCTATGTGGTGTTATCTGTATGTATATATATCAGAAATCTTTCCACCAGAAAGCGATTTGTCTTTGATCTAACTGGTATTGTTAATATGTATGTATACATGTATAATGGAAGTTTTTTTTCCTTCAGGGGCCAGTTTGAGCAGCAGATGAAGATGAAGGATGTGTTGATACTGGACTTAGAACAGAAAGTCCGTCATTTAAAGGAGGAATTCTCAGAGGACAGAACCAAGTGGCAGCAGAAGGTAAGACTGACTTATCTGTAGATATCTGTCAAGGAGGCCAAAATACTCCACCATTATACAGAAGGTAAGACTGACTTATCTGTAGGTATCTGTCAAGGAGGCCAAAATACTCCACCATTATACAGAAGGTAAGACTGACTTATCTGTAGATATCTGTCATATTAAGGAGGCCAAAATACTCCAGCATTATACAGAGGGTAAGACTGACTTATCTGTAGGTATCTGTCAATGAGACCAAAATACTCCACCGTTATACAGAAGGTAAGACTGACTTATCTGTAGATATTTGTCAAGGAGGCCAAATTACTCCACCATTATACAGAAGGTAAGACTGACTTATCTGTAGATATCTGTTAAGGAGGCCAAAATACTCCACCATTATACAGAAGGTAAGACTGACTTATCTGTAGATATCTGTTAAGGAGGCCAAAATACTCCACCGTTATACAGAAGGTAAGACTGACTTATCTGTAGATATCTGTCATATTAAGGAGGCCAAAATACTCCACCATTATGCAGAAGATAAGACTGGGATGATTTATCTGTAGATAAAAAGTCTATTATAATGTTTGTAAAATTAAATCTTTGGTAGAGAAAATGACATAAATGTGTAATGTGAGCCCAACATTTTCCTGTTGAATATCTAGTACAATATGCAATTTAAGTTTAATGAATTTGATGAAAGAAAAATCAATTAAGATGGCATAAATTTATTTCCCAAAACTTTGATTTTACAGAAGGAAGCTCTGGACGAATCCCTGGATAAGACCCACAAAGATGTCAGTGCCATGAGAAAGGAAAGGGATGATGCTATCCGCAATATGTCCTCTCTGGAAGGCAGGATGGAGGAACAGCAGGTATGTCTAACACTATACAGTTACCAGACCATAAAGAATTCATTTAATTTTTAATATATATTCCATGATGTTATGATGTTTAAAACTATGAATATGTTTAGATATGCAGTTCACATGTTTGATTATCTGATACACACTTTTGTTGGCTTTCTCTTGGCAAGGACTGAATGGTCTAATGTCTTATTATTAGGGGATTAACGTCCTCTACTATGGCCTTTAGGCGGTCTAAGGTTTCAACAGTTGTATTATATACCTCAGTACAATGACATCACAACTGCAGAGTGCAATTGGAAACACACCAAATTGACCAATATAAATTACTTCCTGTTATTTTGTACTACTTGTGTGAGTTGTAGAACACTGCAGCCCGACTACAGGCAGAGATACACCTGGAGAAGCAGCGCTGTAGTCAAATGTCGGACAAGGAGACCATGATGAGGACAAGGCAGACAGAACTAGAGACAAAGCTAGAGGAGAAAAACAGGGATGTGGAACGACTTGAGAAGATGTTGGAACTCATCAGACATGAGTGTAATGCTCAGGTCAATGAAAAGGTTAACAAGCATGCAAAGTTAAAGATATATCAGTGTTCTACAAATTAAATCAGATTGTTCCACATTTGATCCGGCTTGGTGTACTCTAAAGTTATTTTCAGTGGATTTTGAATGTTACTGTCAGAGACATAATTACTGTATATATCAAGCAATAAGTCTATGTCTGGTAATAAGCCCACCCATATTTATTGTTGTTCAGTAGAATTATAAATTAAAGCTCTTTTATTTCCTGAATAAAGCCAATCCTTTTACTTTGTGGAAGAAGTTGTCCCCTTGGCTTAATTCAACATATATACAGTGCATTAAAAATTCACTAATATTGTTGTTTAGATAAATTGATGTAGATGTGATTTTTATTTGAGAATTGGCATTTCAGATATCGTATGCAGAGAGACAGGAAAGAGACCGTCACCTTGATCAGATTAGCAGTCTCACGTCACAGCTCAGCAGTATGACGGAGAAGTGCAATAGAAACACTCTTGATTTAGAAATGACTAGGTCTGAGTGTGCAAATCTCAAAAAACAATTAAGGGAAACCTCAGAAAAGTTTGAGTCAACAAAAATTCAGCAAGAATCATTATCGGTGGAGAAGAATCATGTAACGAACATGTTGAGTGATAAAAAGTCTGAAATGGAAAGAGTGTCACAAGAAAAAGACTATTATTCCAATTTGTTAGAACAGAAAAATGAGGAATTAGCAAAAATAAGGACACAAAAAGAAAGATTAACCATTCAGTTAGAGGAGAAGGAGAAAAATCTCTTAATGCTTCAACAGCAATCTACAAACTTCACTCAATTCATGGAGACTAATTCTCGAACACATGATAATCTCAGGGACGAAAAAGAAAATCTTCTGAAAATAATCACTGATCAGAAATCTACATTAGAAGAACTGAGAAGTTCACGTGAAAACATGGCAAAAAAGATGAGAATAAGAGAAAAACGAATTAAGGAGTTAGAAGAAGCAAAAAAGAAATCGGTAGATGAGAGACAGCTGCGAATGGAAGAGATGGGAATACTTCAACAGGAAAAAGACACGCTGTACAAGGAACTGAAGGAGAGTCGATACGAAGTGGCAAACCTCACTGAGGAGAAGGATTCAGTCAAACACAACTTGGAACTACAGAAGTCGGACCTGGAGAAGGCCTTGGCAAGGGCACAATCAAAATGTAAAAGTAAGTGTGTAGATGATGCCTGTGAAAACTGTATTTCATCAAATGTACCTGTAAGTACAGTCAAATTTGTGTTTTCCTTGACTTAAACAAAATTACAAGTGTAGAATTGACTTTCTTTTATTAGAAATCCTAAAACTTATTGACTTTCAGGCTGTATTTTCAGCATATATGCTATATGTTTATGACATACTTCATAGATCTCATTGTCATGTAAAATCGAGTACAGTCAACCTTCTATGATTCAAACTTTTCAAATTTCTGGATGTATCAAAGTTTTTGTCTGGTCCCAAATTTTATTCCTATATAATACAACCAACTTACCCTCTTATGAATAGAAGTTTTATAAATCAAACTTTTCGATGTATCAAAGTCTTTTCATGGGCCATAAGCTATGAGAACATAGTCATTGACACCTCATAATTCAAACAAAACATTTACCTACACTGTACAGGTATTTTTCCCCCTTGGCAAAATTTCACATGTTTCAACGAAGACTGCTACCAGACAATGAGACTACAATGGCCCGCTATCATTAGCTCTGTGTTACGAGGTGAATTAGTGACTGGACACAGATTAAAATTTAATTGCTTACTTACAAGTCATGATATTTAATCATAGATAATGATGTTTACCACTGCCATTGTGGTAATGGCATTTAGTTAATCTACGGAATTTTGAAAACAATCGGAGGAAGTCCTATCACTTATTTGATGATTTCACTCATTCCCAAAGCATCATTTTTTCGTTTTAAGCATAAAAACATGAGAAACACAGTGATTTATCTATCAATCATGTGTTCTCTGATTGATTCAGGCTAGCCTTCGTCCGAACACTGGCAAACACTCTTGTAATTTCTACGACTGAAAATCTTAGTGATGTTAATGCTGTCATTTCTGGACAGAATATATTATACTATTAATTTGCTTTCTTTTAAATCCATTAGTGCCTGTAACGTCTATGTACCAGTCTTAAAATAATTACTGTAACACGTGAAGACCACTTTAATGCTGCGCATCGTTTCATTTGAAATTGACCCATAAAATGTATATACTGTGTGACATGAAGGATCAATTTCTTGTTGATTTCTGTGTAAAGTTATGTTTTTCTCATGAATGGAAATGTTTTGTTTAAAGATAAATTGCATCTTTTCATTTAAACTTGTATTTTGGTATTTGTTGTATTTGCTTGGGTAGAAATATATATAGCCATATATATACATATATTTCATGAGCATGGAAACGTCGATATAACCCAATCATGCACGATTCAAATCTCAATTTATTGAAGTCGTTTTGGTAGTCATTTGATCTTCAAAACATCAAAATTTGACTCTATACTGAAGTAAAATACTTAGCTCTGAAATACATGTGTCCTTCATTTAGAAGTTTTAGATTAATTTATCTAGAATATGACAACAAAATCATTTTGATAGCTTTGTTTATACAAGGAATTAAATGTGATTGTAATGATTTGTGATCAATATTGACTTCAATAATTTCAGCTATGGAGCAGGAATTTAAATTGGCACATAGAACTCTTAAGTCACGTGAATCAGCAGATCACCAAGGTAACCTATATAGTAAATCACAATTTCTTCATATTGGCATTTAATAGATTCAGCTTAGATCAAATCTTTTTAAGCATTCCTATTGAATTTGATGAAATACCTGATTTGAACTATGATTCCTGTTTTCCACTATTATAGCATTTAAACTTCATTATTCAATAGCTGTGAATTAGAAAGAGGTATGGTAAACAAGTTGTTGTCATGAGTAGAATTCATTAGGACTACTTCATAATAGAAAGTAACAATGTTAAACATAATTGTTAAATTGTTGTGATGGAAACAGAAGTAGATTATATGAAGACTGTTTCACACAAGAATGTAATGGTGTTGATGTAATTGTTGAAATTGTTATGGCAGAAACAGAATGGTAGATTATATGAAGACCGTTTCACACAAGAATGTAATGGTGTTGATGTAATTGTTAAATTGTTGTGAAGGACACAGTAAGGTAGAATTCTTGGAGAATATTTCACTCTACATACAATGTGATGATGTTACAGTCTACTACTTCTTTATAATCTATAGCGGTGAAGGTGGCAGACAAAATGCAGAAGGAAGTAACCCTGAAGAGGAGTGAGATTGACTCACTAAAGACCAAGGTCCGGTGGCTGGAGGACAAACTGGACTCTCTCTCACGGGTCAGTAATCTATATCAGTGTGTAACCTAATTCCCTCTCACAAGTCAGTAGTCGATATCAGTGTGTGACCTGACTCCCTCTCACAGGTCAGTAGTCGATATCAGTGTGTGACCTGACTCCCTCTCACAGGTCAGAAGTCGATATCAGTGTGTGACCTGACTCCCTCTCACAGGTCAGTAGTCGATATCAGTGTGTGACCTGACTCCCTGTCACAGGTCAGTAGTTGATATCAGTGTGTGACCTGACTCCCTCTCACAGGTCAGTAGTTGATATCAATGTGTGACCTGACTCCCTCTCACAGGTCAGTAGTCTGTATCAGTGTGAGAACTGACTCCCTCTCACAGGTCAGAAGTCGATATCAGTGTGTGACCTGACTCCCTTTCATAGTCAATGTGTGACCTGACTCCCTCTCACAGGTCAGTAGTCTGTAGCAGTGTGAGAACTGACAGGTGTTTAATGTAAGGCTTAATCTCTCTTCATGTGGTATTGTTTTAACTGTCCTGTAAAAATGCTTATCGATTGTCCATCAATCAGCAGTATTTGCACAGTCCTGTGAATCCTGATGAATCCTTTTATCTTTGAGTCCAGGAATTTCGATGAATTATGCATGATATCTATGATAACTGTTGAGATAGGCAAATCTAAATGAATAAGTCCTCTTAGGGATCAGGACCTAGGGATCAAGAACATGGAGAGAGCTGTTGGAAGTGTGAGGATATTCTAATGAATATTTGCTTTTCTTTAGAGATATTAGAACAATTAGTTCTTTTAAGAGATTGTTGCTAGCCATGAGAGTGTCCTTTTGTTTATCATAGGAACGGAACAGTTTAGAAGGTGACAAAGACAGACTGAAGATGTCCCTTAACAAGTCTCTCACTCATAACCAACAAGTCACAGCAGAACTGGAGGTGTCTCAAGGTCAGGTCATGGAACTCCGTACACAGATAAACCGACTTGAAGTGGCGCTGGAAAAGGTCAGTACTTATTGGGAATTATATATCTATTTAGCAGAAGGCAATAAAATGGAGATTATAACTAATGAAGTTTGATTGCAGTCATTTCTGAAATATGAAGTGTTTTAATCAGTGACTAGATTATGGTAGTAAGGTAATAAGCAATCATTACATATGTGAAAAGTGGCTTCAAATACAAGGACAGGTCCAGAGTTTAATGAAATGGTTTAAGATGATTTATGTAAAGGTCAGTGATATGTAAGAATGGATGTATTAAGATGAGTTTGGATATTTAGAAAGAATGGATATATAGGGAGAAAGATGCCTAATTTAAATTATGATATAGTGTTTGACAGAACTATACTGTCAGTGTTGACGATCTATGAAATTTTGTCTGTTTGCTGTCACACTTTGAACAGCCAGGATTATTTTAAAGAGGGGTCTCCTTGTAGTAGCTGGTGGCTAGCTTATGAACATCATATAGAAGGCCTGTCACATGCTGTCTAAAGCAATTAGGTTAAAGTGTATAGCCCAAGGACACTTTCACATGTACATAATAATGAATGTTTTTTTTCTCAGCTTTCTGAGAAACACATACCGTAACGGGTAGGGAGCACCAAACCACATACCTCAAATCTTCACATGAAGTTACACAGGTCAACTTTCTAACTGACTGAACTATTGTGACCCCAGTGAAATTTGTTATCAAAGGAACAAATACAAGTGGAGTAACATAGGAAGAGAGTGCTTATAACACGAAACAATTTGTGGCATGTACATAACAGAGAGTTTTCATGGAGATCCTAGCTAGCAGAGATACAGAGAGATTTGGTTAAATCTAGTTATTTCATACAGAGAGAGCCAGTAGATAAAGAGACTTTGATAAACCTGATTTATAAATGCAGAAAGAATTGGATCAACCTAGTCAGTGGATACAGAGAGATAATAATATCTTTAGTCAGTAGATACATAGACTTTTAGTGTTAGAAGATTCAGAGAGGTTTATATCAACCTAGACAGTAGATAGAGAGAGATTTAGTCTAAGAGTTTGTAGATACAGGAAGATTAAGGTAAACCTAAGTAGTAGATAAAGAGAGATTTAGATAAACCTAATTAGTAGATAAAGAGATATTAATATCAACCGAGCTATATAAAGAGATATAGATAAATCTTGCCAGTAGATACACAGAAATTAATATAAACTAACCTATACATAGAGATATAGATAAATCTTACTAGTAGATATAGATTAACTAGATGATACAGAGAAATTAAGTAAACAAAGCAAGTAAATAGAAGGAGTTGAACTTTATCTAGTGTTGTGAAGGTATTAAATGAAAACACATGAGGAAATTAAGTGTTATTATAAATTGAACTTTATCTAGTGTTGTGAAGGTATTAAATGAAAACACATGAGGAAATTAAGTGTTATTATAAATTGATTCAAAGGAACTTGTGTTGATTTGGATAGTTTTATTTAATAATGTAAAGCATGCTCATATCAAATTCCCATGTGTACACTTTTCCTTTCTGAGGTGTAAAACTAAATTGGTAGGAAATCACAATGTTTACATGTAGAGTCAACTGTCTGTGGATTAATCTCCATGGAACACTTTGCTACAGTGACTTTATTTTATAAATATTAATCACAATTGCCAAATAAGGGATCTCTGGTGTGTATTGAATATCAAAGGATCTCCACACTTTACATCAGTGACATTATAGCTATTGATAAGTGAACACAGTCTTCAGCTATTAACATAGAGACAATTAAACACATTGTATTACTGTATAATATCAGTTATATGACTAGTCTCAATGCTATCCTATGTAAATTTACATGGATTTGATGTTACATGAGTTTAATTTTTCCTCACAGGTTTTGTCACTGTGTGTAAATATTTAATTTGATTCATATTTAATGAACGTTTCATTTGTTTATTGTGTTGTAGTAGTACTCCATTTTAATGATTGCTTGAATCATATAAAGTTTTATTTACTTTTTGAATAATTCTAAGCTTCTCAATGAAGAATAAAAAACTTAAAGGGTTTCAGAAATACAGCAGAGGCACAGCACCTACATGTAGAGTGTTTGATAGTGTTAGTTATCTACTGATTATCATGAAACTAAACAATAATCTTGACTATTGGTATTATTTTATCATTTTGACAATATTTTATTTAGTTTATCCCTTTTCTGAATATGTCCAAAACATTGCTAATTATGCATACTTTGTGCACATGAATATTTGTCTTAAGTAGTAATGTGATCATAGGTCTTCCGGTCTGATTGGTTCTGCTCTTTCTTATGGGTATTTTTGTGGAAGGAGTATTTTTGTCTGTGGCTTATGGGCAGTTCTAGCTGTATTTAAGATAAGTGTGGTGTGGTTAAATTAAATGGATTGATTATCTATGCAGATAAGCGATATTCTAAATAACATTGTCCTTTGAGGTCTCATTGTGCTCCTAAATAGACCTGCTAGTAGTTAGGAAACAGAAAACATCTTTGATACAGTTTTAGATATAAAATGTATAAAATTATTGATATCGGAACAGTTGAAACGATTCACCACTCAGGACCGGAAATGTGTTCAGGTTATGATGACTGAAAATCCCTTGAATGTGGCTAAAAAGGTTTGTGAATCAAATAGTGGACATTAGGTACATGTAAATGCACTTTGGTCACAGGGTTATCTCCCTTTGTCACATTTTCTAATTGTCATTCTTTACTTTGTTGCAGTGCTGTTTCTTTTTTTTTCTAATATAGAAAACCATAATCTTACCACAAATTCAACTTATTGTGTGTTATGTGTTAGTTGTGTTTTGATTTTAATTAATCACTGACAACATCAGTAATATTTTACAATTTAACAACTTGAAGAATTTTTTAATATAAGATTATAACAAGATGTTTTGTACATTTTTTACAGACCTTGAAAGTAATAAACAATTTTCTATTCTTTAGCATGCATTCATTCATTATTCCATTTTCTCTAATTTAATTTTGTTGTGGTTATTTATATATCTATTAGCTCATTTGCTTTGGTTTATAACAGTGAAATTTTGTAGAGGTACAGAATATATGCTGTCATATTATCATGATTGATAGACCAATTTTTTTATTCTGTTTAAGATAATTTTCCTTTTTAGTGAATTTTTCTTTGTTTTCATTTGTTACAAAACATGTAGTTATATACTGTTAGGATTTGATTTCATGTTATGATGACAAGTTGAGAAGAAGATGAAAGATATGTTTAATTCAAATTGTATCATAATATACTTTAATATGTTAAGATTTATATTCATAATAACGAGTACATTTGAAAAGATAGTTCCTGTTTCTTTTCTGTTTAGTATTATGTTAAAGTTAATATTCAATTTGAAATTATCTATTTGTTTCATATTGTCCAATATGTCACATAGAAATATTGTTATATCTTGCATGTTAATCTGTATGTAATGGATTGGGCGCAGTGTTGACCATTAATCTATTTTACAACATATTATCAGTATAAAGTTTGATCACATCTATCATGTAATGTACTAACTGATGTGGCTTGGATGTGTGCTATATTTATATATAACAAGCAAGCTTAGTAATACTTCACTGTGGAATGTAATGGTGGCTTCAGTTTGTCAGTTGATTCTAATAGAGATGGTCTGAAATTCTGCTCTATTTGTGTAATACCGTTTATGCATAGATTGAGGAGTGTGATCCTTTAGAGGTCCAAGTACACAAACAACAATTAAAGTGTGAAGTTATAGGTATCATAGGATATAATCTTGTATTTTTTAGAATTAGATTTTAAGTTAAATTTCCAATCCAGGGTACATGTAGATATTTAAGTCCCATTATGTGCCTAATGTTAATGATAGAAATGTTGAGGTTCTAGATATAAGCAGTTGTAATGGACACAAAGTTATTATGCTGTATATATTGTTGTTTTTTTGGTTTATTAGTGTCACATCAGAGACACAAGTAGCTCTCGGCTCCAGAGTAGCACAATGTTTTTTCTCATGTTGTTGGTTCACATGTCAGGGTTATAATAATATAATAGAGCTCAGGAGTTGAGAGTCCAATTTTCAGAAATTAACTGGCTTCTTCTCAGTAGAGTTCCAACAAGGGAGATAAATTCTCCAATTATTGATGACCACATTATATGAACCTATCACTCGGTATTGGAGACCTTGTTATCAGTTAGAAAATCATTATAAAATTAAGAAATTCCTAGTGTAAATCATGATGTTTTAAGACTAGTAAATGATAATGTATATTGTATTCATTTTATAAGTATTCTCATCTTCTTTTCCCTCCCTGCTATTTCCTTGACATCAATGTATTGCTAATATGTACAGATGATAAACAGTAAATTGTGTTTTATTTGTATAACTTTCATGTGAATCAAAAGTCTTCTATTCAGGATAGACATTCTCACATCATTCTTCTCTATATAAAGTCTTACTCATACAATAATACCAGGGGTAATAATCAGGGTAAACAAAGTTTAAAATTGTATTGTGGTTTTGCACATTTTGATACCACCATTTGAAAAAAAAAATTTAAAAATGTTAATATGGATTGATCAGCAAGTAAACAATTTTATGTTGCATCTGTAGGCTAATACAAAGACTGCCACAACTCAGGCTCAGCTGGAGCAGTTTGAACAGGAGCTCACTTGTCTCAAGCTGAAACACCAGTTAGACATGCAGGTAAGGATAATTTCATGTGTCTCAAACAGAAACACCAGGTAGACATGCAGGCAAGGATTGAGTCATGTTTGTTCAGCTGAAACACCAGTTAGACATGCAGGTAAGGATTAATTCATGTGTCTCAAGCAGAAACACCAGTTAGACATGCAGGTAAGGATCAGTTCATATGTCTCATGCTGAAACACTAGGTAGACATGCACAGGAGTTTGCAAAATAATTTTAAACCACTAGGCACAGGACTTGTGGGCTGAAAAATTTACTCGTCCGGATTGGAAATTTACTCGTCCAAATTCAGCTATGAAATGGTGACTTAATCAGCGAGGGTGTGACATGTGACTTTCTTTCTATTTTTATTTCAAGTTTTAGTGAAAAAACTATGCAGTGATGGCTGCTTTGCGTCAGACTTAGGCCTAGCCGTAGTGTTTGTTTACATCCGACTGACTAGGTGCTGCTAGATACAGACTGGTACATGTTGATACTGCCTGAGAGCACCTGACCGCGGGAAAATGACTAAGGTATTCCAAATGCTATATCTGACATCATAGGTGTTCCGGTATAATCAAAAGTGCAGACTGGAATATGTTTGTTTTAATTTTTCTTTACATTTTTATTGAAATATAAGTTGTAACATTAATATCATTGGAAAAAAATACTCGTCCGACAGGCGACTGACAAAGATAAATCTGGTTGTCCGAGACAATTTTCACTCGTCCATGATGACCGGACGAGTGCTTTTCTGGACCCCACGTAGACATGAAAGTAAGGATTAATTCATGTGTCTCAAGCTGAAACACCAGGTAGACATGAAGGTAAGGATTGAGTCATGTGTCTCACGCAGAAACACCAGGTAGACATGAAAGTAAGGACTAATTCATGTGTCTCAAATTGTAACACTGGGTAGACATGCAGGTGAGGATTGAACATATGTCTCAAGCAGAAACACCAGGTAGACATGAAAGTAAGGACTAATTCATGTGTCTCAAATTGTAACACTGGGTAGACATGCAGGTGAGGATTGAACCATATGTCTTAAGTTTTTATGCAAACCATACATTAGTGCTTGCAGTTAATTAAGATTTATTGCCAAATATGGATTGAAGATATAAGTGATTTAAATTTACATTCGCAAAGTTTATGTGAAAACTTGACATGGAATTTCCTTGACATTTTGGTAACTGTTCACCATTTTCAAAATGAAATACCTTTTTGTGTGTACAACTCTTTTCTTAAAACAATGACATCTCCTATTACATTCAATTATAAATGCCACAAATATTAGTAAAATACCAATAGGTTTCTTGATTTTAATAATAATTCTAGTTTTTAATAAGTTCAATTATTTACTTTTGCAGGAAGCAATTCAGAAGACCACTCAGAGAAAAGGTCAAGGTCAGAAAGATTTACCCTCCACATACCCAGTAGCTGTGTACTTCCCCCAAGATGAGGCTAACCTTGACACCATCAAGGGCGGAAAGAGTGGTCAGCTCACTGACCGTCAAATCCCGACCAGGGTATGTTACATTAATTCAGTTTAGTTAAGAATCAATCCCAGACTTCAGTATACTGTGTAAGGTAAAGCATTTTCTTAGTTTATAATGTATTCCCTGTACCGCTCCAAGGTTGTCCAGGGTTGTATGAATTTAAATGTTGTACATGGTATGACATATTATCACACCTTGCAGTGTTGTTATACAGAACGTGATTTGTGTAAAATTGGAGTGCATGGTGTATGTAATTGGAAACAGAGAAGATCATCTGTAGTCTTCAGGTACCAAATGTAGAGTAGTGAGTCATTGACTTTTGGTCTTGTGTTCAACTACATACAAATATCTGTCTCTAACACAAGAGTTAACGCTCAGCTTTCAGGTTTAAAAGCTACAGATATACATCTTACCTCTATGAATGTAAATGTATCGGTGTTGTGTCTTTATAAAATTGTAGATAGGTCAATGATGCAAGTGAATTTTTGTTTCAGGACACAGATGATTACCGTGGAGAACTCAAGACTCTCCTTCATGAGATGAGGTCACTCATTTCAGAGAAAAAGGACAGGAATAACCATGCACGCCCATCGTTACACCGTCGCTACAACTCCACACATCTACCTGTACAGACAAACCTTCCTACTGGACATTATCGGTGAGGAAACCTTGTGTATTACTAAATACGTTAAACCATTACTAGGTGCAAATCTGGCTTAATTGAAGAATGTATTATATTGTGCCAGGTATATATAACATCACTGGTGGTGAACATGTTTCTAAAAGTCAGTTGGAATGGACATTATTCTTATCCACAGGTTGTACTCATCCTCGGAGACTGAGGAGTACCATTCTGACAACGAAGTAGACCGGAGTCTTAGTAGGTCAAGGTCAAGGTCAAAGTTTGACTACTCTGGCATGTCCTCAATGAAAGGTGAGTAATCAGATAACAATGGCAATGATTGATTCTGGTCAATGCTGGAGCTATATTTGGTGTAGAACTTGTAGTGAAGTGCCTCTCCTAACTTCAGCTGATCATGTGATCCTGTGGACAACATTTTTCAATGAACATTTTTCATTCTTGTAAAGATATTGGAATATTTATGTGACTTGGGTATTTAACCTATGACTTCCTTGGATTTCAGGTTCAAGGTCAAGGTCACTGTCACCTGTCCATCAATATCAGAGACGACATAGTTTAGACACAACTGCAGTAACAAGATCACCACACAGTTATATCTCAAGGTCACCAGAGTTCTTGAGGAAGTCGGGATCGTCCAGACTTGGAACATATGGCAATGGTGAGTGTCTGTGTGTTGACTTAGTAGTAGTACAGTGAGAATTAAAGCTATATTTATCCAGTGTTTTGTTTGCAAATGGTGAACAACTTTAGCTATAACCAGAAATCTCAAGTTTTGTGTATTTTGCTTCTGATTCTGTAGCTTCAAAGAGAAATCTTTTTTTATTCTAAAGTGTTTCCTGAAAAATCATACTGCTGTCTTGTGAATATTTCAAAAGTCAGTTTTCAAAAGACATTGTAGCGGTCAGATATTTGTGCTTTGTTAAGAAATAAATTGTTTTGAAAGTAATGGGGAAAAAAGTAAATATTTCGAAAATAGATATTTCACTGCATGAATTGTGTTGAAGATCATTGTGTTTGCTGCTGTGACTCTGCATGTATTGGGCATGTCTTTGGAGGGATCAAAATAGACAGCCTTGTTTTCTAGGAGTGTGGTACTTAATTACATCAAAGTGTGAATTTCAATTTTACCAGAAGGAAGGAATTGTTTTTTTTACTGATATTTTGTTTTCTTGATCTGATAGAATTAAACAGCATGTCTGTGATAAGATACATTTTCTGACTTTAATCAAATTGTTTGGCTGCATTAAAATACAGGTGATAAATTAAAACAAGCATCAATGAAAAACACATTACTCATTTAAAAACGATACATTTTAGGTGGTTTGTATGATGGAAAGTTTAAATTATGATAATATGAATTTTTTATTGAATTTGATGTTAATGAATCTGTAATTAAGCATTTTCTGAGTTCATCGTGAAAATGGTTCAGGAAACTGTAATGATGCAGCTAAATCTGTTGATGTGGTAGCCGAGCTTTGTAAATTTGGGTGTGTTTTATACCAGACTTGAGCCAGGAGAATGAGTCGGCTCGCCAGGATGACGAGGTCAAACCAGGTATAACCTTTACAGATGTATTCACGCTGTGTTTGTCTAGAAAAGCTTGTTGTGTGTATTGGTGTGGGATTGTAGTGGTGTGGTATGCATGTCACATATGTTTATTGAAATTTCTTTCCCCGAATTTCTTCTCTCCTGTAATGATAACTGTATGAAACTGTGATAATGCTCTTATTAAAAATTGTTAACATGATAGAAAATTTCTACAGATTCTTTTGGTAATAATGATTGGTGTAGTATTTTTAATCATGAATCTAGTTCTAATACAGGAGATCAAGTGTACTTCTATTTCAGAAATAATCACAAATAATTTTTCTGTTTAATACTAATAAATGCCGATTTGTTGACATGTTAACATTGTAAAGAATACTCACCACTAAAGAAATGTCCACTAAGTCCTGATCTGACTTGAACAAGTATCTGAATTTGATATAATACATGTTTATTTTTGAGTTGATTAACCCTGACAACCCCCTCCATTTTGTTTCAGTATGTTAGCTATGAAGCGGGGCAATGGAAGAGGGAGGTCTATGGCTAAGCCTATAGTTAGCACCTTGGGTCTTAACTAGTTAATGAAGAGTTGGTTACTTGGATATTTGTCATTATAAAGCTAAAGCTAGGTTCTTTTTATTCTCTGTAAATGAGGATGCTGATCATAGGTTTAGTTTATTGTATATAATCTTACATAGGTGTCATAATTATCTCCTGTTTGAACCAAATTTTAAAAGGACAGATTCTGAAGATAAATTAAATTCGGATAAGAGAAATGTGGATGTCGATTCTGATATTATTAGATTGTGATTTAATTTGACATTTTGTGTCAAAAATCTTCCAATTTCTGTTGGACACCTATGAATGATTAATAAAAATGAACCGATATCGGTAAAAATTCTACTGACAGCCGAATGTAGTTTTAATTAAAACTGTCATTTTCCCATAGCACACTTAAAAAAGATTTTCCCCCCATTTCCACCTCTAAGAACATATCCACTCTGTTGTTTTGGCTGGAAAGTCCTTTAATACCTATAAAACTCTCATCCAATTGACCTTTCTTTTCACATTAAAGAGTTCCTGTAACCACTCAAAACTGAAAATAATTTGCCATCTGTAAACATGTTTTTGTTCAGATTTCAAATAAAGTGCTAACATTTTTCAACTCATTAGAAGACAGTGTTTCATAAAATGTACCTCGTACCACATTACAATGATTCCTGCAGCTTAAGCTCTGGACGAGACTGGATCAGAGAGATTGACCATTGTGTTAGGCATGCTTACACGCTCAAATACAAATATTGTTATACCCAATTCTTGTGGTAAATGGTCAAAGTTTGTACTTACTGTATGTACTCAGATACATCAATTTGGATTCTGAGTTCATGAAATAAGCTATCAACAGATATTTCAACCATTGATCTATCATATGAGTCAGTACCCAACTTTTTTTCCCAAATATTGCCTTATCACAAGAATTTTCTAATGCCCATATTTATGCTTGATTTTTTTTTACACTGGTAAACCAGTTGGGAAAAAGATATTAAAACCAATTGAAATAAACAGTGATTTGATCACAGGATAGGTTTGATGTTGCTTTCATCAGATAAGACTCTTTTCATTCCTATCTGGTGTTGTAGCACACCTTATTGAGTCGGGTTGTTAATGCACAGTTTGAAATAAACAGGAACTAATGAACTAATTATCATAAGCACACTGCACTGAACTTACATTGAAATGTTTCTCCTGGCTATCTAGCTCTGCATTCTTGATACTGTTATAACACTTTTTTCTTATTTTTTTATTTTATTGAAACTTGATTTGTCATTTATCTTATCATCTGGGAATTTTTCATGAATTTTTCATGTACTTAAGAATGTTAAATTATTGTGAATGTATGTTTTATTTGTCTTTGTGCTAGAAGTGATGTTATAATATTAAACTGCTCAATGCATTTGGTATATTTAAGCTAGAATGCTTAACTAGAGAAATATAATGAAAAAAGAACACTATTTTCTCTGTTATTTCAAATTTGCTTAAATTTTTGATATGAACAATTTTCCAATTATTGAGATATACTGTTCAGAAAATTTATTTGTGGGAATTCATTTCAGTGGTTTGATGTATCAAAGTTTAGATTATTTTAATTGAAAGTATGTAAGGGTAATGAAACGTTACGAAAATTCATCTTCGTTTCATTCTGTTGTGCTTAACGGAGCACACACACTTGAAAGGAGAACTTGTATTAATTAAGGGTATGTCTACGTCAAAGGGTTTTGCAAAAGATATTGGTACCAGTGTTAGGACATCATTAGGCGATTTTAGTCTCTGTCTCTATTGATTTACCTGGTGAGTGCTTGACTACCACAGTGTAATGATATAAGTACTACTGAAATATTTTGGATGGTTACTAATGTTTGTGTACATCAAATGACATAAAGATACTAATACAACAGTTCTGGTTTAATTTAGTGTCTGTCTTTATCAAAGTGGGTTAAAAAAGTTAACACAACATTCCTGATTCACTTTATTGTTTGTCTATATCAAAATGTTATCAAAAGATACTGATGTAACAACTCTGGCTGAATTACGTGTTTGTCTACCTCAAATTAAACATTACACATTAGTTTGAATTACCCAAAGTACTGACGCAGTTGCCTGCTTGTCTTGAATGAAGTATATAATAACAGGGTTTTATCTGAATAACTGTTGGCCTTTTGAAAGGTTACATATTAGATTTTTAAACCTGGATTAACTGTTAAAATGTCGGTATTAAATACCCCTCAATGTAAGATGTTATAATTAGTGATGAACTTTTCTCTGATGCTTGATTATATTATAATATATACTGTATACTACATGGATTTGTTGTAAACTGCATGCACCTTTTTTCTTGCCAATTGCGTATTACATACGATCTATCATTTCAGATTTTCAAGCATGAATCCTACTGTCTTGATTCTGTAATATTGATAATTCAGCAATTTCACAAAATAATTTCTAATAGAAAATGTTGTCACAGTCAAAATTGTGAATACTAATTTACTTACTAATAAATCATTAGGACCAATTAGCTGATTAACTAGCTACACACTTTTGTGTCACTCTTACAGAATAACTTGTGTCAGTTGTGTATATATGAAGTTGATTATACTTTGTCAGATATATCAATGGTAGAGGGCAGTGTTTCAGAGCAATAACATGATCAATTTGATATTCCTAGAAATTGAGGACAAAAGTGGAGGTACAGGTAACAGTTTTTGAAGAAAACAAATGGTGCAAGTACAAAACAGCAGAGAACATTTGATCTATAGGCATTTGCTTAGTGATACTAGGTCAACAGAATTAGGTCTAATGGAAAATATTTGTAAACATGATATTGACAATGTCAAGGTGCCTTAACTGGTCATTTTCATTTGTACAGGTGACTAATAAAGCTAATTTCCCAGAAAACCATTCATATTGGTTACTTAGTATTAATGGTTAGAGCAGATGTCAGTAAAATTATTGTGGTACCTATCATCCAGAGGCAATTGTTTTGTCTGCAGAATAAGGTCATGTGTCGGCTTTGTACTGATGTACAACGGAAGAAATGTCAGCAGGTTGCTCAATAACCACTGATGAAATGCTAAATAATACCCACTTAGATAATTGTGGAAATTTTGCTTTGATTGTGATTATACAAATGTACCATCAGATCTTTACTTTGATGTTTAGTCATTGTCATGTCTAGTGTGATTGCAAACGTGATTATTATTGTTAGATGTAGTCAGGCAGAAGGAGCCATACACATGTTGTTTAATCACAAGGATGGCAGTGGCAATTACCTTATATTCAATGTTTATACAATGTATTTGGTTTTCCATGCTAGAGTACCTTTAAGTGCTATGTGGATTGTATTTACATTGGTGATAAAGCTATGGTTGTAGTGTATATGTGTTGACGATTCCTCTGTAAATCAGATTAGGAAGAATAGTTTTGTCTATATAGGGGTCACTACAATTTTGTGCAGCAATTGGCTGCTATAATGAGTGATAAAATTTACCAACAGCTAACATTTACAGAAAAAATAATTCCAGTTTACAAGAATTGATATACAAATTTTTGTACAAGTATGCTTTATGAATTACACATGAAAACTGTGTGGTCATTTTGTAGCTTTGAAAAGGCTGGTTTTCTTTTTATTGTATTTTATATACCTGGATTTAGATGGTTCGTATTGGGAAATAAAGCAATATAATTTGTAATTCTCTACCACTCATTTCTATGTGTTTATTATAGAGCAGGGAGTATTGATGACAGAATTTCATTATTGGTCTGTACATAAATCATTAATTGAATGATGTAATAAACAATAAAATGATAATTGAAATAGAAACATTACAAATGAAATGTTTATGGTGATATATTGCACTTGATAGAATTGGTACGATGTATATTGAATTGCAGGCAATTGTCTAATCCATCAGGAAAACAATATGGGCCTGTTATGATAAATTGTTTCCTCAACACGGTTCCTATATGTCTGCTGCAAAGTGCAATACAACACTATCTGTGAAGTTTAACATTATAAATAAATAACTAATCCATCATGTCTGCAATATAATTGTCCTGGTGGTGCGTAATATTATGTTGACATCAATATCTGCTCAGAAAATTTTCAAGGATAAGAGCAGACATTTTCCCTAAAGTTGTTTCATCACTACAGAATGATGGGAAACAATAACTTTGGCCCTCTGTAGATTAGGGAAGCATATCAGGTTTTCATTACGTAATAGACTGACGGATGTCAGATAACAGCAACATATATTGTGCTAGAACAGGGGGACAAATCAAGATGTTTTCATTGTTATATTATTATAAAACTCCATTTACACAAGTTAAACTTTGAATTTATTTTAAAACGTGTCTTTTCAATAGCCAGATAGTGTAGAAGACTACAAGGTTCTTTTCATTTCAGTACGACGTAAGTAAGGTTTAAATTTTGCTGGAAGATTATGCACAAAACCTAGAAGTGGGGCTTGTATGAGATATGAACAGTATTTAAACACTGGATCTTTCCGGTTTTCAGTTTGTACATTTGAACAGACGGAGATACATAATGCTACAATTTGGCTTTGGGATATAATTTTGTCACTGCTTTTAACTTTGAAATATATTTACCTACACATAATCTACACTTTTAAACAATATAAACTTAAAACATTTTTTGTATGTACAGGTTCAACTCGACTGGTATCTAATACTCAGGATCTGTGTAAGAGGTTGGAAGAGAGAATTGAATCACTGTCCAAGATGGGTGGGTCACTGCAGAAAGAGAATAAAGGTAAGCCCATCATCAGTACACAAACTAACGAAAAGTTATATAAATTGTTCTGAACATGGCGTATCTTTGTAGTTTTGCCTATATCAAGTATTCTGAAGTACAACTTCTACTGTCCTTTAATTGACTGTGGAAAAACAGTAAAGCTACTCTTTACAGTTGGCATGTATAAAACGGTTGTCTAACGAAAGTGCCATTTTTTCTAGAATTGTCTTTTTATCATAAACATTGGCGAGTTAGTGGGCATGAAATATTGATCTCTGTGAGCGAATTCATTGCCGTTTACTGTTTCTAACCTAACCACATTCTGTTGTCAAACTGTTCGTTATTCTTACACAGGATAGTTTATATAACTTACTGTAAGCAGAAAAGAAAACTCGAATTTGGAAGAGATTTACTTAACATAAACATGAAGCTGTCTACATGCAAAAAGGATATATATCATTTTGTAACACAAACATTGATACTGAAACTACATTAAAATCATATGATAGCTTATTTTTAAAATATTGAAGCTTATAGTTAAAAGTCTTCAATAAATGAAACAACATAATTACCAGTATATTCCTACCATAAGAGATGTTTAAAGTGTAAACCTTCAGGAAGGGGATCATCACAGATATAAAGTTCTGATCATTTAAAGTATGACACACTGATAAAATTATATCATTGCAGAGATGGCAGACTTGATGAAACAGCAGGGTAAAAAGATTCGCAAGGCGAAAGATAACTCCAAGAAAATAAGAAAGGTGGTGAGGTGACACGAAACATTACAAAATCATTAACAACATGGACTTTATAATCTTTAATGCTGACAGATTCAATGGATAAGATCATTTAGAAGGGACATAGAATTATGAGGATCGTTACCTCGATACAAGTTTCAAATGAAGGGTGCTGTTATGATGAGGCAGAGTACAGATTTACAGATAGTTAGCATGTGCAAGTGTTTTATCATGTGAACAAATGGGAAGAAAATGTTGTTTGTAACAAAGTTGGTAAGAATTTTTCACTGAAACTAAACGTAAGGAATGTTTAGTGGTATTATTCTGCTGTGAATTTAGGATATAGACAATCTTCATTTATCAATGAATTTTCCTTTTATCATTATAAATCATTTTGATTGTATTATGTTAGAAAGAACAAAATCAATATGTATGCCATTCACACAATTGCCAAACAATTTAACAACTCTGTCATTAGAAGATGATTATGAATATTCTTTATTTTTTAATACAATGGAAGTCTGTTGGTTCCTACCTGTGTACTGCTACAAAAAAAACACTGTTGCTGTCTTATAGGAAGAAGTTTTCTTTCAGATAAATCAGGAATCAGTACACAAAATAAGACTTCAACATTATTTTGAAATACTAGCTGTGTGTTAAAGTTGATAATTGATTGGAATTAATTACTTTATGTACATCAGTTTGACACATGGATCTTAATTTATTTGCAGTTGTTGATCCTCTTGGTGTCAATTTTACAAAAATGTCTATCAAAGTAATTTGTCATCAGGTCTTCAGACTGAAAATTGATGACCAGAAATACTTCATTGTAGAATGAAAAATTGTTTGACTTGAATCATTCTTTTCCTATTAGATCATAAAAACGAGTGATTGGTTTAAAAGTGGTTTTTTGAAAGATCTCGTGTTTCAGGAGAATTTTAATCTGGCTGTTGACACTGTCATATTATGATGCATGTTTGAAATGCAGCGTAAATGTCGTGCTGTGCACACTTCAGGAATTCAAACCCACCTCTCCGAGCTACTCCACAGTCTAATGTTCTGTTGGTGTGGTGAAATAATTTGTTAAATGATGATTGGCACATTGTGAAATATGTGTCCTATTAGTGCCCATAATCACAGTGATTTTATACAAAACAGGATATTTGGCCCATTTGTAAACATGAAGCATATTGAAATATTGTGAAAGATAAGGGGATATGTTGACTCTTCCGGTCAGATCATGATTGTAATGGGTTTTATTATAATCTGTAGGAAAACATTACCATACTGTTGGGAGCCATTAATTGGAAAACTTTTTAAGTGCTGTACAATATTTATTTACAAAACATTTTAATTATACAGAGTAAGGGTGATGAAAAACAATAAAAAAACCTTGTTTCCATGTTAATGGTTGAAAGGTTTAACTGTTATCAGTGTTAACGGTTACATTGGCTTCATATTGTATATTGAAAGATAAACTGTTTAGATTTGATTTGTTCCCTTGGCGATAAAAACTCTCAACACATAGCAATTCGCTATACTCCAGTTTATGAGCTGTGAAAATAAACTACGGTGAAAATGAACTACCGAACGATATATATGGTTAAGTTATGCCAACAATTTGTCTTACTTGCTTGAAAGCTAGAGACTACCGAATTTCTCTGATTCTTAACACCTCAGACTTATATTACACTATAAACTAACAACAACTTTATACATATATCTGGCCAATCCTTAGACTATATAACCAATTATATATTCTTGATAAAATGACCGATATCAACACAATTTTTCAATAATTTTGTCAAAAACTATAAGCATTTCCCTGAACACTTTTACTGTCCTTCAGTCAAAAATATAAAATGATTCTACTCTACATGTAGTAAAGCTTATACCTTAAACATTGTGAAATATTCATCTAAAATTAGTAATGGTTATTAGGTTTCATTCTTCATTACACCACAGCCTGCAAATTGGATCCCAAACCAGTATTTATGTTGTGACTATATTGCAACTGTGATAACATTGCTATAGGTATCAGATTGTACCATAAGTTGTAAATTTTCTTGACAAAACGTAAATTAAATTAACATATGGGTTAAAGATTTCATTTCAGTAAAAACAATAAGTGAAATAATGTTTTAAATGGCATATTAGCTCTTATTATGTTCGATATGAATTGTACGTTGTTTTGAGTATGATGGTGTCTGAATGTTTTCATGTATGATTTAGCATATCACGATTTGAGATCTATGAGATTGGCACTTCTTCTGTTACTCTTTACGGACAGAAGATAGAAGTTAACACAGGTTTATGTTTTTATATTTTATCAATTATTCAGCTATAAGTTGAATATAATAAAGAGTGTTACTGGCTTTAATTTCTTTCATATCCGATGAAAATTTGCTTTTTTTTCACACATAAATAGTATAAAAAAGACACAAGTTGATGAAAATGTAATCTGATCAGTAATGTCATAAAATCTTAAAAACACAGGAATTAAAATTCTTAAAGTTTAGCATTGAAATAACTTTTCATCAAATCTAGTTTTGGCAGTTAATTGAAATCTGTTACAAACAAGTTATTTTCAGACAAATTCATAAATCAATTTCTAGAACAAACTTGGAAGCAACCTTGGATGACATTTTCTCGAATGTCACGTTTGACATTTGTAACCTGCTGATATGAAGGAGATGAAACTTTATATTCACAAACAAAGGCCACTTACTTTTTTTATTTCGCTTGTGTATTAAATGTTGATAAGGCGAGTATTTAGAAAATCTGTAAATGCCTCTGTTTATGGAAAACAAATTTCAATTCAATTATTTATACTTTCAATCTTGAACTTTTGATGCATAAGTTTGAAATAACAAATTATATTTTTAAATAACATCCAAGTTCTATAATCGCCAACTATTGCTTGGATGGAATCATAAAAACCTTTATGTTGGAGTAGGTGATGTAAAACAAGATCTGAAACATACATTTCGACAAACTTGGTATAGGGCTTGTCTACTTCGTCCCTGGACTATTTTTTAAAGTCTCAGGTCTTTGCTCATCACTCATTCCATGTAAGGATATTGTGTTATACATTGAGACATTTCCTGATCATTACATGTCAATAATGTTATGTATAGTGTTGGATCAGGTGTTCACAGCTCTGTGTCATTGAATGAGAAATCTACTGTTTAATCAGTATAAGAAGTCTGTTTTAGTCCCAGTCCTCCTTAATGACATATGCTAATTACCACATTATTATTCAAACATGTTCCTTGTTTCTGAATGCATGAGTAGCATTTCATTGGTATTATTAGGAACATTACAGACTCCAACAATTTATAAAAGTGTTTTTGTGTTCTTACTCCCATCTGATGACAAGACAAGATGTTTTTCGTCTTGTTCTGTTGTACCCGAACTTAGCAACAACGAGGAATTTAAACATTATTTTTTTATGTTAGTTTTTCTATAAGGTCTTTTGGCGTTGGGATTTGGATGATTTGTGATAAGCTGTAGTGTAGTATAATGAGTCCTGGATACAATGGTAGAGTACTCCAGTGATGTCTCGATCTTAATATTTCTGGACGACACATTTGTTGATGGAAACTGACCTGTCTTTATAGAAATAGTCTACTAATTTACTACATTTGATAGATAGTTGTTACAAGTATGGTATAATTTGCTAAGTTCATGTTCACCAGAATATCGCTCCTTTAGTTTTTCTCCTTGTAACAATATCACCATTTATCTTAAGTTGGAATTTATCCTATTTTTCTTACCCGTAAACATGTCTCTTTTTTTCAATCTGTGATATGTATATATATATTTATTTTTTAGATTTTTACGTTTGCGTATTCATTGGTCATTACACAGTTCTATATCAGTTTATCACATTTGTGGTATATTTTTATTGTATCGTTTGTTTGACTGAACACATATATGTTTATCTCCATGTACAATAAGATGTATTTATTTCCATATTGTAAACAAATAAATTATGAAATATATTTCTAAGTGATTTACCTGTGTTTGATTTGATATTTTTTCTGCTTTTTCAATAGTAGATGGAGCATACATTTTACTATATTGCAATTATGAGATTATAAATGAAATTAGTACTGTGACTTTCTTTCATTTCTAAACAATTTTCTCAAACTTAGCACTGTAACTTTCTTTCATTTCTAAACAATGTTCTTAAAATGTAGCACTATTGACATTACAGATTATTGACTAGTCATTTTAGCACTATGGTTCCACATGTACAGGATTATTGCTACATTCTAACTCACAAGACAATATGACGTCCTACATTACGTCAACACTTTACACATCATCTCCGATGACGCACGTGGTAGTTTTACATTAATCATTGAGATGAATATGATATACAAGACTCTCTTCCAGTATGTAAACATACAGGAAAACTCATAGGCTCTTCTACTATAATTTGTTGAAATAGATGCGATGAAATAATATCAGAATATTGAAGGGTTGTCAGATTACTTTTATTGTTTATATACAACAAATACGATATAATGCCCGTTCAGTGGAGAATCTGATGAAAGTATCAACCCTGTCCTTTAAGTACTACTCATGGACATCAGAAGGGGGTTTCATTGTTTCCTGTAAATTTCTTACATCACATTGTTTTCTTTTTAGCCCACCATCTATCTAATAGATGGTGGGTTATTCAAATCGCCCTGCGTCCGTGGTCCGTCCGTCTCGCCGTCCGTCCAGCCGTCCGTCCGTAAACAATTCTTGTTACCGCTATTTCTGGAAAAATACTGGATGGATCTTTCTCAAATTTCATATGCAGGTTCCCCTTGGTCCCTAGTTGTGCATTGTACCTTTTTTGAACTGATTCGCATTCAAGATGGCCGACAGGTGGCCATCTTGGATTTTGGAAGTAAAAGTTTGTTACACTATTTCTGGAAAAATACTGGATGGATATTTCTCAAATTTCATGTGCAGTTTCCCCTTGGTCTCTAGTTGTGCATTGTACCTTTTTTGGACTGATTCGAATTCAAGATGGCCGACAG